TCTGCTTTCTTTTGGCTCTGTTGTTAAACATGGCAGCGAGGTAGAAATAGTTCCTCCCCCTTTTGCCCCCCCTTCCATTTGAGGGGGGGTTTGGGGGGGTGTTCGTTTTAACTGCTTTCCCTTAATTGTGGGGAGGGGAGGACTTCTCCTAACAGTGCTCATTTCCTCAGGGACCCTTTCCAGTCTTTCTAATCTTGAAAGCGATCTGTCCGAAGGTTTGGAACGCAACCAAAGAGGATTTGGTTTTGAAGTGTCCTTACTTTGTTTATTCTTTCTCATTCAACCTCAATTTCACTCCTCCTGCTTTCATCAATTTTTTAATTGCTTTGTTTTCCCGTTCTACACAGCACACAGTACAAAAAAGTCCCACTCAGTTATGCCTTGCAATGCCAGGAGGTTCGCCTTAATGTAACGAGACTGGCTTGATCCTTCTTCAAAGGAGGAATCTGCCTCTAATATTTATTTTGCCTTCCGGATCATTAAGTCATTAAATCCAATATTTTAGTATTTTAATATTGTATTTAAATTGCAGCTGTTTATCTTCTCCAAGTCTTCTCCAAGTCAGTGCGCAGTTATAATTGGCAATTTGGTTTCACTTTCGACAGCAGCTTCCAAGCCATTTTTCGGCAGTCGCCTTATCTTCTGCCAAAGCTCATAAATCAAAGCAAGTAATTGGTAATAAATTACCTTCTTAGGCTCTGCACGTGCACCAGACTTCCGCCTCCCCTTTGATCCAGAAAGGACAATTATCCATTCATTTTCACTGCTTTTTTGCTATATTTCCACAAGAGCTGGAGGAAAGACGTCTGTTCAACCGGCCATGGTAACTCCGCCCCCCGCCTGGTTTGCTCTTATGCTGCTGTTTTTTAAGGCTTACTGGTTTTCTCACACTCAGCACCTGCAAACTATCGGCCACTTTTGTTTCTGATACTGGCCCAATCCCTAACCCAGCAATGGCTTCTTGTATTGTTTAGTTTTTCCATTTCTTCTTCCTTCCTCTGACTATGTGTGTGTATATATATATAAACATATTTTAGATCACATCCTTTGGCAGGGTAGGCTGTTTTTGTTGTTTTACTTGTAGAGTTCTGTGTCCATTGTTTACACTATAAACAATCACAGTTGGGAGGAAAGATTATTTAAATGTAGGTGTTTGCCAGTCTTCATTTTTCAGTCACTAAATCCTGGAAACTGTTTAGTCTCTCACATTCTTTGTACAATATGCCTTAGAGTTTTCATTATAATCCTTTTATTGCTATCTTTTAAAACCTAAATATTTCTAGGCTTCCTTTATCACATGAAATTCTTGTGCAGTACTGAGTATAAATAGTTCATAATTTTTATAAAATGGATACATGAGTAATATTCAACTATATTGTTATATAATATCCATTTTTTTAAACAAAAGATCTAAATGCAGACAGTGATGTTATCTAAATCAGACTAGTTTTAGATAACATTATTGTCTGTATTTAGATTTTTTTAAATGAAGAAGGTGCTTGGAGTAGAAGGTGGTAAGATAGGGTAGACAAACTAAAGTATTTATAGCAGTTAGGTAATGCTGCCAGAAAAAATTGAGTAGATTTTTGCCTCAGTGTCTTGTGTTTTGAATGCAAGGCACTGAATTCCCTTCCCTGAATTCTGCACATCTGATAGCAGGGCAGGCTTTTTCAATATCCTCCTGATGTCAGTAGTATGTTTTACTGAGTAACAATAGCTGAGAATCCTTTGTCTCAGCCTCTTTCTCTCTTCCATCTAATTATGTACCTGTTAAACATTTCATTCTAATCTAAAAAAACAAAAACAAGATGAAGGTTTTACTTCGTAAAATAAATGGGAGATGGCAAAGGCTTGAGGCTCAAGTCTTCTTTTTTACTTCTGCTTCTCTCTACATTAGTGCTACTAAAGCATTTCTGCTTATAGCCGTTTTCTTCTAACTTGTTGATGAGCAAGAGCAGACCCCTTTTGTCTTTTAGCAACTGGTTAACAAGAAGAACTCAATTAAAAATTAGGGTTGTAAAATGGAAGGGAAAAAGCAATTTCTTAGTGAGAAATTGAAAAGCCATCTCTCCAAGTTTTGTGAATCTGGTTTTAAAAGGAGGTGTGTGTAGGGCCAGGATTTACCAAGGAAGTGAAGACAATGTAGTTTTTCAGACATAATGATGTTGGGTTTTTGTACCTTGCATTTCTTTATTGATTGAGACCCAAGGAAATCTATAGAGATCTCAGAATTACTTAAACAAAACTGTCTGCTGTATTAGGCCTTTTGTAAGAGGAACAGACTGCCACTTGCTTTGTGGGAAGGCAAAGGCATCCTGTATATATTCAGAAGTAGAGTTACTGTATTGTTTCTGGATAGGTTTGTTTGGGTATATACCCATATTTACTCGAGTCTAATGTGCCATCAAATCTTATGCGCACCTCAATTTCCAAAACTCTGAAACAAAAAAGGTATTTGTTGGCAAATGTAATGCTCAGCGGCAAAAAGTGCACTCTTTATAATTTGGACAAAAAGATGTACATTATAATGGTTGCTTTCTTATAATTCCATCTTTAAAAACAGAAGTGTTAGAACACCAAAGCTTTTAGTGGAAAAGAAAACATTGGGGTGCATCTATGGTGTAGAATGAATGCTGTTGCCTCACCAAACTACAAATCCCAACATAGCATAGCATTGAGCCAAGGCAAATATATTAGAAATAATGTCCCTCAAATAGGAGCTCCTGAAGTAGCTTTTCCCTTTGGCTTTGGCTCAGCACTAAGATTACCATATAATGCTAATCTAATGTGCATCCTAATTTTGGGGAGGTTATTTAGCCACAAAGATAAGCATTAGATTTGAGTAAATGTGGTAGTTCTTGGATCCTTGTTACCATAGACCAGTGGTTCCCAACCTGTGGTCCATAGACCACCAGTGGTCCGCAAGAACTAAAATATGGACCTTGGCCTCAATGTTACTACACCATTGCAACGAAAGCGACTGGTCTCACAAAACCCTCTTATACTGCTGAGGCTTATTAAATATGGTTTTCTGTGGGCGAGGAGATGATGACTACTGGGTGGCATATGTTCTGTATTAGAAACTAGAGCTGATGTGATATATCCAATGTAATTTTCTCAATCAGTACCTCAAATAACCAAACCGAATCTAAAGTTGACCAAAAACTGATTTGTAGCCCTTTTGGTACTAATGTTAGAGAGTGATCCCTGGTCAAAAAAGGGTTGGGAACCAGTGCCATAGACAGATCTCTATGATCACAGTACCTCTGTCCAGGAATGGCTTCAGTTAATTAACATGACAAAGCTAGTAAAAGGTACACCATGACAGTGGACTTGCCTGAACTTCTTTAAACCTATTTAGAATTTCAGTTCTCATACATCTTCATATGTCTTTAAAAGACTTTGAACCAATTCTTGATACATACACTTGTTCAGTTTGATCTATATGGTCATAATGATTTAGACGTTGAATTCTGTGCTCTTTATAAATGTTTGCATTTTGCTTTTATCTTCTTGTAGGGAGCCAGTTCCAAATGCCCTGCAATGGATGATGATAGTCAGGATGAACTGATAAATAAGAATGCTGCAGTAGGCAAAGTTAAAAGAACAAACGCTCTGCTCTTCAGTGATGCAGGTAAGTGAAACTGTTCAGAAAGGTGTGGGTTTTTAAAAATTGTCAGCAGTTTACGGATTTTGTGTGAGTTTTTAAAAATTGTCGGTAGGTTGGACTAGATGGCCCATGAGCTCTCTTTCAACTATGATTCTAGGCATTTACAACAAGAAATTTGTCTATGGCGTCTTCTTGGCTATACAATTGTACAACATTTTATGGCGGCATAATTTTATTTTCTACTCAGTTTAATGTGCGGATAGCAGCTTTTACTTTAAATGAGGCCTCTAATTCCTTTAAAAATGTCAGTGATATTCAGTAAAATGTCAGCAGTATGCAGCCTGGTGACCCTCAGCTTAATTTTGAAAGGTCTTCACTTTGTCAGATGTGTGTTTTTCCTGATGCCTGGCGTATGTATGTAAGAGAGATAAGACAGAGAAAGAAGTGGCCCTGTCTGCTTTTATGTCTGCTCTTGGCCCAACACTGGCTTTGGCTCTGACTGCTGCTATTATGTGCTTCCCAACATATTACCCTCAAAGAAATGTGGACTTTGACAAGAAAAAGAAAAATGTACTTTTTAACCATATGCCCGTGTTGCATATTTGTAGTAATATGGTGTTTCATATCTGACTATTAATTTTCAGCATTGATGAAGACAATTTTTATTGCTAATTGCCATTAAGTCAACTTATAATGGCCTATAAATGAGAACTGTTGTTTTCTTGATTGAGTCTTCTTACTCCGCCATTTTTTCTTCTGCTTACTAAACACTATTGTCTTTCCTAACACCTTGTGATATATCCAAATTACAATGGTTTGAGGTTAACGATTTTGGCTTTTAGGGAGAGTGCAAGCTTGACTTGCTCTATGACCCATTTATTTGTCTATGGTATTTATAAAACATTTCTGCAGCATCACATTTGAAATCAGTTGATTCTCTTCCTAACAGCTGTATTTGGAATATATGTAAGCCAAAACATATAGCCCTTCCTGGCAACTGTTCATGGGACCGTGTTGTATGAGCATTCATTTCAATTCTCCTCTTGTTTGCTCTTGTTTGAAAGAGAGCTCCGATGGCAGTAGTGCAGATTCAGATGACACAGGCAGCGGGGAAGAGGATGATATTGATGAAGATGGAGGTGCAGAGGATGAAGAAGGTGAAGATGAAGATCTAGAAGGTGATTATAATGAACCTCTTCAGTTATGTTCATTAGTCCCTAATGGCATGATGTGGAACTATGGAACAGATCCAAGATTGAGAAATCAGCTGAAACATTTGAGACCAAAGGATACCATTCTTTGAAAGATTGCAAGCTTGATATCAGTCATGTCCCTTACAAATAATGTTAGTTGAAGGTTCATTTAAGTGACTGGTTCCTGATCAACCAGTGAAATTTGTGACTGAACAGCTTGTCATCAATAGTCCTAATGTTCTGACCTTTACACAAACCGGGTTTTACTATGCAGGTTCTTATTAACATAGTATATTTATTTGTTTGGCTTCTTGTACAGTTCAAAGTGTACACCATGGATGGGCATGCTGTGGAGATTCTCGGGCTAGTCTTCTGACTTACAGGTTTTTTGTGAGCGTTGGTACCGTGTGATTCTAAGGATGTAATATTCAAGTACCTTTCCTTGCTATTCCAAAAATGTATTCAGCTTTTGCTTCTCTTCAGAGTGATACAGCATGCTAACATTCACATCCAAAATGTATTATGTGGATTTAAATACTAGAATGTTTTTTCATTGTTTCTTAAGATTCTGAGGAGGAGGAGGAAGAGGAGGAGGAAGAGGAAGACGAGGATGAAATGGCTAATGAGCAACCATCTTATTCAGATAAAGCAAAACCACAATTGAATGGAGGAGTTGCGTCCTCTTCAGATGAAGATGCTGAAAACTGCCCAATATGCCTCAATACATTCAGGGATCAGGCAGTTGGAACACCTGAGAATTGTGCCCATTACTTCTGCTTGGATTGTATAGTCGAGTGGTCTAAAGTAAGAGGTTTATTTATTTACTTTAACTTTTAAAAGCCTGGGCATCTGGATTCTTTGTATTAACATCGCATGGGGACAGTGTATTAGGAATGATCCTCTAGAATTTCCCTTAGAATGCTTATACAATGGCGAGGGCACAATCAAACAGCTTGTCTGTCAAGTTGCTTAGTAGCCTGTATTTTGGGTCACAAAGGTGAAATCGGGTTTCGTGTAGCAATGAAGTGAACATGTTCTACTTCAAAAAGCATCAAAACTCGAAAGTGCCAGTTTCAAGCTTCTAATATGTCATGGCAGACACTGTAATAAATCACACAAAATCAAGTTAGTCGTGGCCATATATAGTCATAAGCTCTTTGTAATAAACTGCTTCAGATCAGTTGTAGAATCAATGTTTAGTTTTCACAAAAACTCAACTCAGTAGCTCTTATCATGTCTTTCTGACCCTTCTCCCTCCTGGTTAAGCCTCTTTTATCTGAAATGCTAGAGGCCAGAAGTGTTTTAGATGTCAGAATTTTTGAATTTTATTTTGGAGTATTTGTGAAATATCAGGAATCCAGGCATCCCACCAGTTCATAGATTTTCTTGCCTCTCTCAAGTTATGTCTCTCTCTCTAGCTTCATATCTCATTCATTCGCTGCTACTGTCTGAGATGCGAGACTGGAGAAAGACTGAGAATCTGAGGGACTGAGGATATAAGGGACCTGATATTCAGGGGGGAAATACAGTCATGCACAGGAGATAATTGTATAAAATTTGAGAATCCATAGGTTTTGGTATCCATGAGGGTCTTGAAACCAAGCCCCAGCAAATATCAAAGGCCCATTGTATTCTCATCCCATACTTAAAAGTTTGTTTATTTTAGTTATTTGTTTTACGTTTCACCTTTCTCCCAAATGAGACTCAAAGTTTACAGTTTAGCATGGTGATTCATAGGTGATTATTTGGTTAGTATAAAAATGAACTAGTGTTCAAAGTTTACAGTTTAGCCAGGTGATTCATATGTGACCATTTGGGTAGTATTAAAACTGAACTAGTGTTCAGGAATCCACCAAATTTTGTTTTATCTTGGTACAAAGCTAAACACCTGATTTCCACTGTCTCTGCTTCTTCTCCTAAATAGGAACTTACTATTCTCATTCTTTTTTACAGAATGCCAACTCTTGTCCAGTGGATAGGATTATTTTCAAGTCTATCTGTGTTAGAGTACGCTTTGGTGGAGAAATCTTGAAGAAAGTAAGCTTTGTTTTGACTTAGCAAAACTCAGAAATCATATTTCTTACAATTTATGCAGACCTTTTAAAAATAACTTCTGGTTGTTTTTTACCTTTAGCTTTTTAATACACACACACACAAACCACCACCACCACCCTGGATTTAACTGTCTATTGCTTCCTGTTTTGAAACCTTTTTTTTTTTTTTAAATTACCGTATTGAAAGAAATCACTCAGTTGTATGGATTAATTCATCTGGAAAAAGCTTAAGTTTTTCAGGGCTCTGGTTTTATGAAATAAAGGTATTCTTTGTTGGTTCTGTTTGATCAGTTAGCAGGACTGTTTATGTATGTTCTCTAATTACATCTTTAATTTTATGATGCATTTTTCCTTCAGTTCACTTTCGGTGATTTCTGTGCCATTAGAGGAATCCATGTTAAAAATGCCTTGTACTAAGTTTCTCTCATTGCACATTATGTTACCCTCCAATTCAAATATTTTTTGAAGATAAAGCAGCTCAGATGAATTTGAAGGAAACTTGCATGACTGGGGATTTTGTCTTAACTAAATTTTATGCTTCCAGCAATATACCATAATAAAACAAATATAAAACGAACAAGTTCACACCTAGAGTGAATTGGTGCCAGTCCATGATTGCCAGTACCTGGAGAGTTTCCAGAAAAGAAAGAGACAATTGTGCTTAACAGATATAAATTTAGTGGTGGGAAGAAAAATATGCTGGTCACCCCACATATGATAGCTAGAAAGATGCTGTATTAGGCTAAATATTTAATTTCAGAAGTGATTACAAACTTTGTTACTAGCATGAAGATGCAAACTTTCCTAAGAATGTGCAACTTTTATTCAGATTCCAGTTCAAAATACAAAGTCTCAGGAAGATGAGGTAGAAGATGATCCAACTTTTTGTGAAGTATGTGGCCGAAGTGACAGAGAGGATCGACTGTTGCTTTGTGATGGTTGTGATGCTGGGTAAGGAACTTTGCTTCTGAAAATTACCCCAGTTCCTGCATGTTTTGTGTTTGTAATTTCTCCCAGCTACTTCCTCCTTTTGTGTTTACTGCCTAAAACTCTGCAGAGTGACCTTATGTTTTAGAGGTCGTTTTTCTTTTCTGACCCTGTCACACGCTGCCAAACTCTCCTCCAGGCTGTCCTGTCTGGATATACTCAGAAAATGCTAGGTGTGCTTTCTTCTTTATGGATTTAGGCTCTCCTTTTGAAACCTTTATTTTTAGAAGTTCATTTACTTGTCTTAGTACTACCATCATTTAATGCGAAAATAAACTTAAGAATTTGTTGGGATTTGTGTGCTGAGGATAATTATGTAGTATAGAATTAAGTATTAACTGTTCTGTGTCTGTAGTCTTCTTTAAATGCCACAAAAGGAGATTTCAATTTAGGAATCTAATCTTACTCTTTATTGATTATACATACGTAAACTGCCCCAGATTTGTTTTGAAGAGAAGACATAAATAATAAATAGAAGCAAATAGTGCTCCTCTTGGCTTTGGAAGTAATTGTACAGTCTTACTTGCTTATAGGATGGCTTTGCATCCTTGCGGAAAGAGATGTGGTATTTCTTTCACCCTCATTCCTCTTGAAAACACATTGTGTGTATGTTTTAGATACCACATGGAGTGCCTTAATCCACCACTGAGTGAGGTACCTGTGGATGAATGGTTCTGTCCACCGTGTGCACCTGCAAATGCTGCACCTGCTGATATTGGCAAGTATTTTATTCATAATGCATTTTGAAGCTTACACAGAATAGAAAACAGTTTCTTCTGCGTGGTACTGTGAAATCCACACCTGTGGTATTTCCCTGCGTCCACGCAGCTGACTTGGATCTTTCTTGAAAAGCTTTTCCTAATTAGGGACTCCAGCCCCGCCCATCTACTCCTAATAAAGCCAGGCAGCGGGGCTTGGAGCCTTAGTTCCTTGTCTCCGTGAAAGCAGCAACAACTCGGTGTTCTCTCCTAAAACAACTATTGGTTTGACTCAAGGACTCCAGTTTGACTACTCTAACAGACAGCTGCAACTAGTCAATGAGTCTGATGTAGATTCTGACTCCTATGAGTAGCAGATTTCTCCTACTCTTGAGGAGGACTTTTCCATCCCAGCTTCCATAGGGGATGTGTTACCTAATTTTTCCTCCTTGATTACTTAGAGGATCTGCTTTTCTCAGTTGAGCAACAGGCATAGGCACCTCTTCAGCAGAGTGGTTAGTTAATCCTACTAAACTGAACTTTATTGTGGTCAAAGTTGTTTAATCCAAGAAAGCTAAGGCACCTCAAGTCAGTCCACTGTGATAAGAAGATCCACCCCACTGCTAGCCTACTCACTTGCATGATTCATTACCATGCTTGTATGGCAGCCTATCAGGTGCTCTTGTGGCATAGCTCAGCACCTTATTTGGATCTCCTTCCCCTACAACATCAACAGATCCCAAGGGCTTTCTGTCAGTAAGCTCTCACCTTAGCTTCTCATCAGAAAGCTGTGGCTCAGCACAGCACCGATACAGTACTAAAGGTGTTTGCTGCTGTTGCAGTAGCCATCCACCAGCATGGTTGGCTGAGATCCTCTACCCTCTCCAAAGAAGTCAGAACAATGGCAGAATAACTGCCCGTGGCAGAACATAGTCTGTTTCATCCTGATACAGACCCTCACTTCAAAAGTACACACAAGATTTGACAGGCTGCTTCTAAGTTTGACTTTCTACCACAATCTAGCCTAGATTGTGGTAGGCAGCTCCTCAGCTTAATTATCATCAACCTTCATGACCTGTTTCCTTCAGTCCTCAGCAGGGCCGGAACTCTAGGGCCTCTGTAGCTGGGAGACTTAATTTTTCCACCACAGGTGACAACAAACTAAGGGAAAGAAGAAGATCAGGGCCAACAGTGTTTTTAGCATGTATTTTCTCTTCTTTAATAGCCTCCAACCCTTCAGCTCCAGTTTTTGGAGCTCCACCTCATCATTTTTAGATGCATGGCATTAGATCACTTCTCACTCATGGGTGTTGGAGATTACAGAGCATGTTTATGCAATTGAATTTCTCAAACTGTCCCCAGTAGGGACTCTACGGGCCACTCCTCCTCCTGTGTTATAGCAGGAGGTAATTACTTTGTTTCAAAAAGGAGCAGTAGCTTCTTTACATCTTTCTGTGTTTCCTTCTTTTCCCTTTTCCCCAAATACTTTTTGGTTTCCAAGAAAGGCAGTGGGCTTTGGCCAGTTTTGGACCTTAGAGGACTTTATGCATATATTGCATATTGCAAATTTCAGATGTTGTCATTACCAACCATCCTCCCTCTGTTATCCAGCAAGACATGGTTCAGTAGCATTGATTTGAAGGATGCCTATTTTCATGTGGTGATTAGATCACAAGACGGTAGATTTTTGTCACTTTTTACTGGCAGTCAGGCCTTTTCATTTCAAGTTCTTCCTTATGGTATCTCCACAGCTCCACAGGTGTTACTAAGGAGATGGCTGTATGCCGGCTCATCCCTGGGTGCACGGGGTAGTAGTTTACCCTATATTGATGGCTGGTTGTTGGTGCACAGTTCTGTGAGTATCTACAGAGGAACATTCACTTTACTCTGTCTTTATAGCAGGAGCTTGGTCTTTTTATCAACAAGGTAAAATCTCTTCTTCAGCCTATCCAAACAACCAATTCATTGGGCCTGTATTGGACTCTTGGCATGCAAGGGCCTACTTGCTAGAAGACAGGTTTCTGACTCTGCATTCATTAGCTCTTTGAGTCTGGCAGAAGCCATACATCCATGCCAGGGATGTCCAGTGCCTTTTGGGACACATGGCATTCACCACAGCTGCCACTCCTTTCTCCTGTTTGCACCTTCGGCCTCTCCAGAATTGGTTTCTTCGGGCACTTCATCCCATGCAGGATGAGCCCAGTGAATGTCTCATTGTCCCTTTAGCCATCCACCAGTCTCTCAACTAGTGGACTCATCGCTCCAATCTCTGTGTGGGCGATGTTAGCAACAGACACTTCCCTCTCAGAGTGGTGAGCTCACCTCAAGGGTCACACCATCCATTGTCCTTGGGCGGCCCTAGAGGGCATAGAGCACATCAACTATTTGGAGTTACTCGCAGTAGCAATGGCACTGCACCTTATCTGTCATTTGCTCATGGACAGTATTGTCCAGCTTACCACCACCACCACAATTGTGATTTGCTTGCCCTCATCATCAGAATCTGGGACTGGTATACCATAACCATCAGTGCCATTCATCAAGAACTCTCTTGCTGGCTCCCTCAGTCAGACAGTTTATACTGACCACTAATGGTCCCTTCATCCTTCCCAGGCATGGGAACTCTTTGTCAGATGGCAAACTCCCCTTCTGGACTTGTTTGCCTCTCCCGCCAACATGAAGTGCCAGTTCTTTGGAGCACGTCTTACCTCCACCAGACAGGCTGTTGGGAGATGCCTTCCTCCTGGATTGGACATCCGCCCTCCTGTACATCTTTCCACTACTGCCACTACTGCCACTGCTCTCGTCTTTAAGCAGAGCAGGTAGATTGCATTCTCATCACACCATGGTGGCCCCGCCAGCCATGGTTTGTCACTCTGCTCCAACTTGCAGGCAGCTGTTACATTCAGTTGCCACTCAGACCAGACTTGCTGACTATGGGCAACAGCCCAGTCCCGTACTCCCAAGTCACTCAGTTCCGGTTGACGGCGTGGCAGATATAGCCTCAGCCCTCTCTCAACCAGTAAAGGGCAGTTTGGACCTTGCCCTGAGACCTGCCACTAAACATTCTTACATATGTAAGTGGTGTCATTTTTGCATTTTTTCACAAAAGCAAGGGGTTCAGCCTCGGTCTGCTTCCACTTCCCTCCTCCTGAATTTTTTGATTTCTCTGTCAGATTCAGGACTCTCATTATCATTCTTGAAAGTCAATCTGGCAAATATAGATTCGTTTAGAAGCGAGCATTCTCTTCCCTCTCCTTTATCCGATCCTCTTGTAAAGAGATTTCTGCAAGGCTTTAGAAATTTCTGGCCCCAAGTAGGCCTGTGCCCCCCTCTTGGAGGTTGGAGGTTGTTCTTTCCGCCCTTATGAAACCACCATTTGAGCCAATGGCCACTTCTGACATGTTCCATCTATCATGGAAAACAGCATTTTTAGTGCCTATTACTTTTGCTCGTCGCGCTAGCGAGCTTATGGCTCTTGAGTCGATAGTCCTTACGTGAAATTTCATAAGGATAAGGTCATGCTGGGCACAGACATTCCCTTCTTACCTAAGGCAGCATCATAGTTTCATATGTCTCAGGACATTGTCCTTCCAACCTTATTTCCAAATCCTTCTACTCCCCTGGAGCAGTCTTTGCACCTTCTTGATGTGCGGAGGGCTCTTGCTTTTTATGTCCACCGCACAGCTCCATTACGGAACTCACTACGACTTTTTGTTAAGTACCGTAGGGATACTGTGGGCCTTCCTGTTTCTACCCAGAGGTGGTGGCTTGGATAGTTGCAGCTATCCAGCTAGCTTATGAAATGGCAGGACTGGACTTACCTGTTCAGATCCATGCTCATTCCACTAGAGCATTGGCAGCCTCCATGGCTTTTTTGCACAGTGTGCCTCTGGATGATATCTGTCGGGTGGCCATATGGTCAACACCGCATACTTTTGTCTCCCATTATAAATTGGATTTAGCTGCCAAGAAGGAGACGGCTTTTGGGAGAGCAGTACTTTTTTCTGCACCAGCATGACACCCACCATCCGTGGGACTGCTCGCTAGTCTACCACAGGTGTGGATTTCACAGTACCACGCAGAAGAAAGTAAGGTTGCTTACCTGTAACCATGTTTCTTCTAGTGGTTAACTGTGAAATTCACACAACCCGCCCATCCTCCCCACATTCTGTCATGCCTTTTATCTCCGACTGTCTTTCGCGGTACGGAACTAAGGCTCCAAGCCCCGCTGCCTGGCTTTATTAGGAGTAGATGGGCGGGGCTGGAGTCCCTAATTAGGAAAAGCTTTCAAGAAAGATCCGAGTCAGCTGCGTGGACGCAGGGAAATACTACAGGTGTGAATTTCACAGTTAACCACTAGAAGAAACATGGTTACAGGTAAGCAACCTTACTTTTCCTTTCTTCCCTAGAGTTTGGGCAACATTTAGAGGTATTTAAAAAGATTTCTGCTAGGGCAATAATAAAAATGAGCAATACCACAACAGGTTTCATTCTTGTTCATGGTACCACTTCAGGTAACGTTAGTGGGCCATGTTGGGTGAGTGGGCTTATAAACAGTAGACCCTCTCCATAAATGTACAGCATAGTAGTCCTCTTGCAGCAGTGTAACCAATACAAGCAGCCACAAAACGATCAACAGAACAAAAACTCAGACTCACAGAAGCCTTCCTTTGGAGGCTTCTTTCTTGTAACAAAAATAACATAGTTTCAGCACTCTTCGTTCCTTGCTTCCTTGCTCTTGGCAGGTGTGCAGCTTCAGCTTCGCTCACACAGAACCTTTACTTTACTCAGTAGCTTCACACAGGAACCTTGCACAGGACTTACACAGAGTTCAAACACAGACACTCTAACACAGCTTAGACACGCAGCCTCTAACACAAAGCTTCGAACACAAAGGCTTCTCACACACAGGCTGAACACTCTACATGCGCACCTGCTTATATTACCACCCTACTGGTTTTGCTTAGTCATTGCAATTTAACCCTTTCAGTGTTTGACCTATATTTTTGTAATTAAAAATACATTGTTAATTTTCAATATTTCTGTTAAGCTGATGCTCATTACACAAAGCAGTTAAATCTAGTGAAAACATACCGAGTGCATCGCATTAGTGGAAACAGTTTTATCTCAATTTGCTTATTTCAGTTGGATTTAAGATGAGATTGTTGTCTTGAAATGGGAAACTGGAGAATTCTAAATGAAAAGGGTTTCTTGATTTCAGAATCTTTGCAGTTTGCTCTGGAGATTTAGGAGAAATCCTGGATTTGGTTTGCTAGAAAGATGTTCAGATACTTGTTGAAGCACAGCTGACAACTTACGCACAGATCTTGTTTTAAGAAACAGACCGTGTGAGTGAAGAAGAGGTTGCATCCCTTATAGCTGATGTAATTCCCACTACCAGTCGACTGCGTCCTAGTGTCCGAACGCGAGCTATAGCTAGAACACGGCAGAGTGAACGTGTGCGGGCGACAGTAAACAGAAATCGGATAACCACTGCACAACGAATTCAGGTATTATGTGGTATAGGGATGAAACAAATTAAATTATTGCCCCATTCTTTACGTATGTAAATTATAAATCTTTGCCAGTGTGAAAAGAATGAATTTGTGGAATGATTAACACTGTGACTTGTAATTATGAACTGGCAGAATCTGCCAGGAAGCAGTTATTTGAAAATTCCATTAAAATGTACGAAAGCTGTAAGAAAGCATTGCTGGAGGTGTTGCTTGGCTCATATGTATTTCTCTGATTTGTATACTTAAAATATATATTCATTTGGCATAGGATGAATTCCAAAAGAACAGTGAAGCAGTATGCTTTTATGGAATGAAATCCAAAGTCTAATAGTTATTGAGACCAGCATGAGAGCTTTTAGGGACCACAAGCCTGCTGTGGTTTGTGGAGGTATTATGAACATCCCCAGGAACTAAGGGTATGAGTTAGTCATGTTTGGGTGACTGTGATTAGCTCTGCCTCCTTAGTCCACAAGTTTCTTCTTATGTTGAGATATACATATCCCCATTTGCAATATATATGCTTTCTCTACTGGCAACAAAGATCCGCCTAGTCAAAGCCATGGTATTCCCTGTAGTAACCTACGGATGTGAGAGCTGGACCTTAGGGAAGGCTGAACGAAGGAAGAGCGATGCTTTTGAGCTGTGGTGTTGGAGGAAAGTTCTGAGAGTGCCTTGGACTGCAAGAAGATCCAACCAGTCCATCCTCCAGGAAATAAAGCCCGGCTGCTCACTGGAGGGAAGGATACTAGAGACAAAGCTGAAGTACTTTGGCCACATCATGAGGAGACAGCAAAGCCTAGAGAAGACAATTATGCTGGGGAAAGTGGAAGGCAAAAGGAAGAGGGGCTGACCAAGGGCAAGATGGATGGATGGCATCCTTGAAGTGACTGGACTGACCTTGAAGGAGCTGGGGGTGGTGACGGCCGACAGGGAGCTCTGGCGTGGGCTGGTCCATGAGGTCACGAAGAGTCGGAGACGACTGAACGAATGAACAACAACAACAAATGCTTTCTATAACAAACAATGGTGTACTGAAGCACTACTGAAAATGAAGCTGTAATAAAGTCCATCGGCTTTTGCATGTTAAAATTTAACAAGGAATTGTTGCCAAAAACAGCCTCGGCTTCTTCCTGTGTATGTTTAAATGCCCTGAAGACATCAGATCCTGTCTGATCTTTGAAGCTATGCAGGATCAACCCTGGTTAGTATTTGAATGAAAGACCACCAATGATTACCAAGTGCTGTAGGCAATATTTCAGATGAAGGCATTGGCAAACCACCTCTGTGTATTCCTTGTCTAAGAAAACTTGCCTGAGGTGACTTGAAGGAACATACACAGGCCAGAGAGAGAAACAGCTTTGTTCAGTGGCTAATATTAAAGTTATAATGCTTTATTGTGTATGTGCTATCACTATGAATTAATATGGAAATTCAGGGGATGGATAATTCTAATATTGGTGGAGGTATCACAAAATAATAAGCTAGTTATATAGGAGTTTATATGGACTTTTGTTTTCTTGAGAAGGCAAGAGGTACATTGGTCTGGTTCACTTTTTATAATTTTAACTCTCAGATGTCAAGTGAAAATGGCTTGTTGGAAAGTTTCTTGTGGTGATGATGGTTATTATGTGCCTTAAGTCATTTCTGCGTATGGCAATCCTAAGGTGAATCCGCCACATGGTTTTCTTGGCAATATCTGTTCAGATGGGACTTGTTCAGATGGGGTTGAAGCTGAGATAGTGTGACTTGCCCAGGGTCACCCAGTGGTATCCATGACTGAATGGGAATTTCAGCACCGGTCTCCATAGTCTTTAGTCCATCACCCAAATCACTACTCTCATCCATGGAGGTGGATTTTGAATGAATGAAGAGGAAAGTTGGAAGGAGAGTTCTCTACCTTGCATGTAGTGCAGTTTTATACCACTTTTTGTTAGTTAAATGAGTAATTGTGACTATTGCCCTTGATTTTAGCATGTACCGAGGTACCTCATGTCTTCTCTTCTTGATGAAACAATTGAGGCAGTTGCCGCAGGACTGAGCACAGCAGTTTACCAGAGACCATTGATTCCTCGGTCCACAACCAAGAAGAAACGGAAAAGAGGTAATTTGCAGTTTGTATGAGACAATAAAAACTGCATTGCCTAACTATTATAATTTACTTAATTTTGAAACTTTTTTATTTCATGTTTACGCTTCTCAGTAGAATTCCTTTTCTATACAACGAAACAACTTTAATGAAAATGCAAACTTGGAACAATAAGTAAAAGATCAGAGAGAGGGGCACAGGAAGAACAGTATCTATACATCATTTTAAAACACAAAGGAACCAAGAGAGATATTATACATCAGGGTTTTTTTTTTAAGACCGAAGAGTATTGGCAGATTCATACAAGTTTAAGATACGTTATGTTGGCAGTCAGTGGGTCCTGCAAAAACAAAGCAACTGTCACATATGCAAGCTTATTAATTATGTGGCACTTGAGATATTTCAGGTAATTGGTTCAGACATATGAATGCATCTGTAAATTTTATTTTGTTGGATAAATCAGCCATTTTGTAATCTCTTGTGCCTGTTGCAGACATATGATGAGAATGGAAATCATTATGATCTGGAAAGAAAGGCGTCGGGGCTTTTATGTGAGCAATCATTTTATTTAAAAGAAACTGTTCTGCAGATAGCTTTATAGTCTCAGAAGCATTGCCTGAATCTACCCCATATGGTTTAACTTACAAGGCATATGAATTTATTAGTGTGTGAGACCCTTTGCACATTTCCCATTTGTTCTTTTCAGAATAGAATTTCAATTTAGACTCTAATTTGATATATACAGTGCTGTATTTTGTTTTATTTCCATCACATTTGAAAGTTCACATTACAGAGGAGTAAAATTGCAGTTCATATTTGCTGAGCAAAATTCAGCAATCTTTTTTTTTTTTCTCTAATTCAGGGAGGAGAAAGAAAACAGCAGGTAAAAAAACTCAAGGAAAATCATCTGCTGGAAAAAAGACTGGTGGAACATGGATTAAACGGCGCAAACGTCGAAAGCACAGAAGAGTGAAGAAAGTAAAAGTATGCTGTTGGATTATTTCTTACTGGTGCATAAATTAGTGTAGCCTAGTACCTTTCTTGCAATAATTCTGAAATAATCATTTTATTAGAGGAATGGAGAATGCACTTCATCTAGGTGAAAGCCCTGACCTTCACCTGGAGCTAAACTCTCGCCCATTTCCACAGGTGAAAACTGAAGTGACTGCTCGTTCCCGAATTGCAAAAACCCTTCGCCTTGGAAAACCTGTTCGTGGCACTTCAATCCCTTCTGTGTACAAACCAGTAGAACCCTCACTTGGCTTGATGAGAGCAGATATTGGAGCAGCCTCCCTATCAGTCTTTGGGGATCCCTTTGAGTTGGATCCATATAACAGGTAAGATTAAAACTGATTGGCTTATTATTCGTGGCATGCAATTACAAGAAAACCAATGGAATTCTATTTTTTATATAAAAAGGCATTAGCGCCAGAGAAAGTATTTTGTGACCAGGAGGGTAGGGTTCTAATGAGGTAAATATGCTAATCAAACTGGTCCTATTAGTAGGGAGTTGTGCACCCAATATAAAACAAAAAAGCTTTTAATAGAAAATCAGCTCAAACTGCAGCAGAGCATGCAGAAAAAGAGATGATTTAGATGGGGGGACACAAAATTAGATAGAAATGGACACAAAATTAGATAGAAATTGTTTTTAAAAAGTATAAGAAAGAAGGTAGATTTCCAGGATCTTTGTTGGAGGAATTGCAGCATTGGGAGCTAAATGACATTTGGAGAATACACAACCCAACTAGGAAAGAACTCATACTATTCTCACAAGCATGGCACCTGCCTCTAGCATAGATGTGGTATTTGGGACGAAGGAAATAGTGTACCAAGCAGAAAAGGTGGAATTATTACCTAGGGTACTGGCAGATCATAATCCCATATTGCTAAAACTAAAAGGGAGCAATAGGGTAGGAAAGCTCTGGAAAACAAATTATTATATACTGGAGGTTATTACAATTAAGGAGAAAATCTGAACTGGATAAAAAAATATTTGAAGGAGAACCTCAAATAGAGAATGGCAGAAAAGGTGGGATGCAGGAAAATCAGTAATTAGAGGGCTACTAATCCAATAAAATACTATTTGGTACAAGGGGAAAAGCAAACTACAATTAGAGCTATTATCCAAAATAAGGGAAAAGGGAAAAAAATAGAGAATAGCAAGGTGAAGACAAGTGAAATACAGTCGAAAAATCTCTATCAACAGTACAAATTGTTAAATGCAAATTAAATTGAGATAAAAATAATGTATAATAGGCACATTTTTTTGAAAATGCTAATAAACCAGGGAAACTATTAGCATGGCAACTTAAAGACCAAAAAAGAAAGCAATTGATAATGAAAAGAAAGAGTAAAGGGGAAATAATTGCAAATATGAAGCGAATTCACAGTATATTTGAAGCTTATTACAAAAATCTATATAAAAGGATACAACTATGATTACACAATACCTAGAAGAGACAAAAACCACAAAACTCACTGAGACCATGAAATCAGAGCTAAATAAAGCAATCACACCAGAGGAATTAGTTAAAACAATAGACAAAATTAAACTAAATAAATCTCCTGGACCTGATGGATTCTTGGTCTTGTATTATAAGACATTTTTTAAAAAGTTAGTACCAATACTGGTTTCAATAATAATAATACTTTATTTTTAACCCGCCCTCTCTCCCCAAAGGGACTCAGGGTGAGCTTCCATAAATGAAAATGGCAAACATTCAATATCACATACAATAATAAAATGAAAACATTCAATCATACAATTAAAACAAGTTAAACAGCTTTGGCTAAAAGCATAGAAATCAGTCAGTCCAGCATCATATATAATACAATTAAACATTTAAAATCTGTATAAAGATGAAGAAATATAGCTCTTCAATAAATTAAGACAGTCATTGTCAATTTGGTCTATCCAGATGGAGTCAGTGGTAAATTATTCCTTCTCCTCTCCACAAGCTGGCGAGCAGTAATAGGTTCTTAATTCTTTTTTGAAGGAGAGGAGTGAAGGGGCTGTTTTAATTTAGGGAGGGAAGGAGCAGTCGTGAAGAAGGCCACCCCTCTCATGGGGGTTTTGAATAAGGTTTTGAGAAAATGAGAGCTGCCAGGATCTTGGTTCTAATCAACAATAGTACTGATCCCCCAAAAGACAGTGATATGGATCAGATCAAAAATGTAGACCAATATCATTATTAAATTGTGATTATAAAATATTTGCAGCAACTTTAGCAAATCGATTTAAGCAGATATTAACAAGGATACTACATTATGATCAAGCAGATTTTCTTCCAGGTAGGTATTTTAATCAGAATGCCAGGATGATTTTAAATATATTAGAAGTGGCAGAAAAAGATCCAAATAGAGATTTGGCACTATTTTTATTGACGCACCGAAAGCTCTTGATAATGTTAGTTGGGAATTTATAGGTAAGGTCTTGGAACGACGGGGGGTGGGGCATCACTTCAAAAGGGCAGTGGGGACAATATATTCAAATCAAAGAGCTAGATCAAAAATAAAAGGCCAACTATCAGACACTATTGAGATTCAGAAAGGGACCCGACAGGGATACTCCTTGTAACCTCTACTATTTTTCTTAGGGCTAGAGATATTAAACATTAGAATAAGAAAGGAGAGGGTTATTGAAGGCTTCACATTAAAAAGACAGAATTCAAAATTAGAGCTAATGACATGGTTTGTATTTTAACTAACCCACTATAGAGTGTGAAGAAACTTCTAGAGACAGTTAACCTTTATGGAAATTTATCAGGACTCTTTTTTTTTTGTCGTGTCAGGAGAGACTTGAGAAATCGCAAGTCGCTTCTGGTGTGAGAGAATTGGCCGTCTGCAAGGACGTTGCCCAGGGGACGCCCGGATGGTTTGATGTTTTATCATCCTTGTGGGAGGCTTCTCTCATGTCCCCGCTTGAGGAGCTGGAGCTGGTAGAGGGAGCTCATCCACCTCTCCCTGGATTCGAACCTGCGACCTGTCAGTCTTCTGTTCTGCCGGCACAGGGGTTTAACCCACTGCGCCACCAGGGGCTCCATCAGGACTCATAATGAACAAGGATAAATCCAATATTTTAATTAAAATATAGGAACAAATAGTATTATGAAATTTGAAAAAATAGAATGTAAAGTTGTCTCAAAGGTAAAATATTTAGTACTTTGGCTCACGAATAAAAACATTAACTTATTCCAAAACAATTACGAAGGAGTTTGGTTAGAGATTTTAAAAAGACCTGATTAGATGGCAAAGGTTACCAACAACTTGGACAGGTAGGATTGTGGTGATAAAAATGATGGTACTCCCTAAAATGTTTTTCCTATTCCAAAATCTATCAATTATCAAAAGCACTAAAATATTTGATTAATGGAAAAAGGATCTCACCAAATTCATTTGCACAGGGAAAAGAGCCAGGATGGCATATAGAAACCTGATTGATGCCAAAGAGAAAGGGGGTTTAAACCTACTGGATCTCAGACATTACTATGAAGCAGCGGGTTGAGATGGCTGAAAAACTGGATAACACTAGAGAACCAAAGCGTACTTAATCTAGAGCAGTGGTTCTCAATCTGTGGGTCCCCAGGTGTTTTGGCCTACAACTCCCAGAAATCCTAGCCAGTTTACCAGCTGTTAATGTATATATTTTCCTGAGCGCCCCCCCCCCCAGGGGGTTGAGTAGGGCGGGGTACAAATTTTCATAAATAAATAAATAAATAAATAAATAAAATGTTTTACAGAAGCTATACAACACCAGTCCTACTTGCAAAAATAGACAGATCTCAACAAGACAGGTGCTGGAGATGGGAAATGCAGAAAGGAACTTTCTTTCATGTGTGGTGGTCATGTGAGAGCGTTCAAATATTCTGGAACAACATAATCCAGGAAACAAATAATACGTTAAGCAATTAAGATTTTTAAAAAATCAGGGATGTGATTGTTGGGCTTATTTAGGGAAGGCGCCAACTGGGATGATAAAGAAATATGAATGAGATGGATACGATTGTGCTTTGTGTTTCTCGTTTCTTAGTAATGATGAGCTTCCTGTTGCAAACTCACCATTGAGCACCAAAAGAAGAGGTCTTTCTCAGTCCGCACTTAGATCTCATTGCCCTGTTGCTCGGCCAGTTGCTGTGGGCATTCCTGGGTAAGGCTGGTCAGGCAATCCTTTTCTTGCAGAATGAAAGAAGTCAGAACTGCTATTAGCAAAGTTCACTTTTTGCTTGTGGTCTCTCCTGTTGCTTAATTGCCTTATACGTTGAAGCCCCAACTCTTTCTGTTGCCTTTGTAAATTAAAATTCAGCTCTCTTCATAAGCATGATTTGATTTCATCAGTTATTAAGGAGAACCCAGCATGGACAGTTATGAAAAGAATCTGTTCAATTATAAAAAGGTTTAGATCCTGCCCAGTTTTTAGTATTGGATAAGCTACAACCTTTCAATTCATTTCCAAGTTTGCCAAAATTGCAGATTGTCAATGTGAAGCTTCCTAACATGTGCCTTCATGATAAGTAATAGAAAATGTTAATCCTTTGAATATTTAGATTTGCATTGTTAACACGTACAGACATATGTATATTTGCACCTGTATGACATGCTGTTTCAAAAACTGCCTTGGTTGCTCACAAAGATATCAAATGTCTTTGGATAAATTGTCCAATATGTTGAAGCTGGAGGATGGCATTGCTGAATACTAACCTTCTGTGAAAAGTACATTGCTGCATACTTATTTCTATTCCTCATTTTCTTCATCCATTTTCTTATTCAGGCCTGAGCTACAAGTTTAAACAAAACAACATCTAATAAAAACGAAACACTCACAACAGTGTATATATTCACAAACACACTTAAATTAGGAGTGGAAAACACTTGGCTGCCAAGATGTTTTGGCAAACAAGTCCGTTAAGTCATGCACAGCATGGCAGTGAAGAGGGACTGTGGGTAGTGTGGTCCTAAAACACTCAGGAATCCTCTGATTTAAATGAATCCCAACATATCAGCATAGCATACTTGTCATACCTTGTATCATTACATTTTGCTCTATTTCTTTTTTCTTTCAAAATGCTCCATCACCCCATCATTGTTATGTGGTCTCCAGTCTATGCCAACACTATCCTAGGGTTTTCTTGATAAGATTTTTTCAGAGGAGACATGAAATCTCTGTGGTCTTCCTCATAGGCTGAGAATGTGTTTTTCCAATGGTCATGCGGTGGGTTTCTTTACCTGAGTGGGGGTTTTGACATCAGGAGTCCTAGTACAGCACTCAAATGACAACAGCATTTTGGCTCAAAAGAATACTCCATGATGACTTCAAATTAGTTTTCAAAGGGCCAGTAGAACATTTTTAGGTTATATCTCTTTAAGAAGGTCCCGGAATCCTGGATCTGTTGGATTCTGTTGCAGTTGGAGGGCAAGGCAGGCCCCAGAGGCCTCTTCCAGGTCAAAGGAATAATGCATGTGAGTTAAGATCAAAATGGGAGGGGGGAAACAGAGACCTTGAGGAAGAAGAACTCAGTCCAGCATTTGACCGTATTAGACTTTTAGGAGAGGGATTCAGTTCTGCCTCATCACCTGGAAAGTCGCATCCTTCTGTTTTGAAAGTGATTAACTTGCATGCCAAACATTAAGCTTTGCAAAAAAAAGAACAAAGGGCAAGGAAGAATATGGTGGTAGGAGACTAAATGAGCAAGGTTAATGGGGAAAATGTCCAATGATTGTAAACAATTTATTGATAGATTTAAATATATTACTCACAAGATGCCCTTTCAAGGCATTCCTTCAGTAGGGAATGAGGTATGGATGTGTGACAATGGCAGTTTCTAGAAAGGATTGGAAAGAAGTAAGAGGAGACGACTAGCTGCTTTATTTTGTGTCTGAGGCTGCCTGGGTGAAGAATGTGATCTTACTCTCCCATCTGCTTGAGTTCTCTGAATTCTAGCAAAAAAGACAGCCCGGGGCTAGGGGCATAAGCCAGCTCACAGTCAGTAGCTCTGAGTCTTGATTTTGCCCAGTTTAAATAAGTATTGGTTTTCTCCAGAGGACTTAAATACTTGCAGGCTAATTCATAAAATCTATAGAATTTAAAGCCCCATCCACACTTCCATATAATGGAGTTTCATAATGCAGACTGCATTGAACTGCAGTCCATTATGCAACTGCATTATATGGTAGGGTAAATGCGCCCTAAGAATTTTTTTATATTGGCACATTATTTACATCTGTCTGAGGTTTATTTTGTTACATTGATTTGCTTATCTTCAAGGAGCTCAAGACCGTCTCTTCCATCACCCCCATTTTATCCTCACAAAATCCCAGACCTGTTTTATCCCCATGACAACACTGGGAAGTAGTAAGGCTAGGCAGAGAGAGAGTGAGGTTGGCCAAGGTTAGTTAGAGATACAAAATTCAAGATTTTCCTACAGGGAATAGTTTCCTTGTCTAGGGTTTGAAAAAGGTCATTTGGCTGGATTCCTGCTCCTCTCCCTAAAATATAGCTAAACATGAACTTTCTCCCATGTGGGTCCATGCCTGTGCAGGTTTTTATAAATAATAATACTTTAAATTTTAGGGAGCTTTCTGCTTCCTTTTTATTAGGAGCCAAAGTGTAAGCTGAGTACACTGAGATGTTCCCTCTAGAGCTAAAGAGGCCCAAAGCTCATTGAGAATTAGGGGAGAATCTACCTACCAAAGAGCAGGAATGCAGCCAAATGTTACCCTCCAAAGAAGGCATGTTGCAGGTGAGTTATTACAGGTAAGGCACACAACTAATGGTACCTGATGGACATGCCAACATGAAGTTCCAAAATTTCCTAGTTTGACCCTTTCAGAGTGTTATATCTCAGTTTTAGTTGGAACATTTACTTTGATAAATCCATAGGCTATCCACCACAAGAGCTCTCAGGATGACTGTGTGCGCTAACAATTGCAATACTATTTCAGGTGTCAGTTCTTTTGAAGCTTTTGCTTCTCTGTGCTGAGCTCTTGATTATCTTGTATATATTTGTTTACTCAAATATTATTCCTGTCCATTTCTTAAAACATTCCCAAATTAAAAACATCACAATAAAACAATGTCAGAAAAATCAGTCAGAAAATGACTTTCAAAACAGGTCTAAACATTTTTTGCTCAGAAGGTTCTTTAAAAGTTAACAGTGGCAAAACTTGCAGATTTCTTTCATAGACTAAACCACGTTTGAAACATTCCAGGATAACCCCTGTTACTTGTGTGCACTTCCACTCTCCTGTCTTGCAGGGTAACAGAGCAGGACTCCAGTTAAAAACTGTTGGAGTTTCCAACTGGTGTCATTATTTTATACTATTACTGTATCAATGAATGTGTGCCAGATTTGAGGATCCAGTGATAGTCTAGTCCACTTAATGCTATTCATTTATTTATCACATCATGGCAGAATTAATTCAAGTCCATTAATGTTATATTAATATGATCATTAATTAAATTGGGGGGAACTAACTAGCATTGAAGGACACTTTGTTATACATTTTAATTAATTTCCTTTTTCCCTGTAGCATTTTCCCCCAGATTGTTTTGGGAAACAGTTCAGGAAAGCCCAGGAAGCTGCAAAGGAGAAGATTTGGGGGGGGGGGGGGGGGGGGCTTTTGTGCAAACAAATGTTATTTTAAAAAAACATAGAATTTGGGCTAATGATACCAGCATTGTGCACTTTTTCTGAATGTAGGGACAGCTGTAGCCCTGGGTCTCTATGCAGTCATTGCTGGTGGCCTGTTTTCAGTCATGTAGATCAGTGCTCTCAAAATGGTGGTCCTTGGACTAGTGCTGGTCCTCAGACAGTTAAAAAACAATAACAAAGAAACAATTTACCCAATGAGCACACATTTAGTGGATATCTCTAGCACATTGGAAAACAATAACTACCTGGGAAGCACTGATGTAGATGGCCCTTGTTCATGAAAATGCAGCTGTTGAGATAAACCTTCACAGAGAGCCAATATACTACAAAAGTGAAAAAAAAATCCTCAGTTCCATCTGGTAAATCTGCCATTTTGTATAGAGGCAAACATTGCAAGAGTCCTGCTTTGTATAATTTGTAGGAGAAGTGTGCCTGTCTTGTCACCTGAGCCTGAAGTGGAAGCCGCCCCAGTGCCTGACCTGTTGGGCAGCATCCTGACTGGACAGAGCCTCCTGATGATGAGTGGTTCTGATGTTGTCATTAATAGAGATGGATCATTAACTGCAAAGAAAACAAGTAAGGATTTGGGGTTTTTTTTTAATCCATAACTGCTAGTGGGATTCTTAGGCAAACCCTAATGGGGTGGATATGTTTGTGCTTTATGGCCATGAGCATTTCAATTTTTACAAGAACTGGGGAAATTAATATGCATGGATTTGTTTTTATTCTCTGCACTTGGTAATACAGTCAGCTGTCCACATTTTCTGTTTTGGGGCACAGGACCCCCATGGAAATAAAAACAATATTTATTTTAACCTGAGAGAACACCTTCTAGGAATTTCCTGATGTTTTAGTAGATCTCCGTGGTTTTATTTATCGTGTCATCAGCAACCATACCATTGTGTTACAATTCTAACAGAATTCAGTGGTCAACTTCCACTGAAGGCTGAACATGGAATTGCATTGGAGGACCTAAAGAATCATAGAAAGGTGCCCAACACTAGAAATCTCTTCATCTTTTAGCATGACTGGAGGAAGCTGACCACACTGGAGTATCTAAAGATTCCTAGAGAAAATATTTTAAATCAAATTGGTGAATAATCAAATTTGCAAAAAACAAAATTGCAAGTGCGGAGAGACAATTGTAGTAAGCTTTGTTTTTATGGTAGTTTCAAAGTGAATCCTTTTGCAGGCAGAGGTTCAGTTGAAGGACACATTGAAGCAGTATATGTAGGTACCAATCAAAATGTTTCCAGAATTTAGAGTGCATCCTTTAAAAGACCCTTGAGTTCTGTACATTGTATGTGTACTTGGTTAAATAATTTATTTTCATATTAGAAGCTAATCTAATTAGTCACTTCCCTTGACAAAGATTAATTTTGTCTCCCATATTACTGGTATATTTTTAAATTTATTAAAATATAGCAGTATATTTTAACAATTGAAGAACATGTTTTTATCTTTCAGTACCACCGCGTCAAGGCAGTTCAAATGTTGAGGAATGCTTGGGAGACAATGCCCAGCTTGGGACGTCACATTTGGTGAACCCAATTAGTAGCTCTGATACTGAATCTTCAAAATTGAAACCCTCCACCTCTCATACTTGCACCTCATCACCGTCATCACTAAGTGTAACGAACAGAGATGTGATTCCTTCAAGTCAAACATCGTCTGGAAGGACACCCATTCGATTTGAATACTCAATGACTCCAAGGTCTGTTCAGACCCAGAATTTAGCCAGTCTGAACAGATGTGGCCCCAAGTTGGGTGAAGTGTCTAGATTTAATGGAGGCTCTAAGTTATCAAGTGCACCTCTTTTTGCATCTTCTAAACCATTGAACAGCAACTCCTCTTCAACCTCAAAAACAATGTCTATCAAAGGACCTCTAAAGTCTTCACCTAAAAGGCTTGAGATATCCGAACTTCCCAGAATACCAAAGATTAAAAAGGAAACTACAAATGGCCATCTTGGATCACAACCTGCCAGTGATCGAAGTGGTGACATTCCCAGCGCCTGTATAACACAATTGACTGGTAAGGGAAATGCAAACCAGCCAATCAGAAGTAGTAAAATGGAAAGTGGCATGTCAAGTGCCAATCATCGACAAGGACAGACGAGTGGAGGCTCCACTTCGACTGTTGCCCGTGATGGTTCCACACTTCCTCCAGCAAGGGGAAAAGTTGGCAGCTCCTCCTTTCAGAGTTTTAAAATCAACATCCCTGGAAATGTTGGACATTCCAGTAGAATGTCTAATCCTGGGTTTTGCAATACTTTCCGACCTGTTGACAATAAGGTGCAACAGAAAGAGAATCCGTCACCCCTCTTTTCACTGAAGAAAACAAAACCAATTAAAAGTGAAATATATGATCCTTTTGACCCAACAGGCTCTGATTCAAGTTCAGCAAACAGCAGTCCTGAAAGGTTGTCCTTCACTAATATCACCAGGACAATATCCATAGCAAGTCCCAAAGTTCAGACATTCCAAACTGTGCGCCGCATTACACCTTACAACCTGGAAAATATCTTTGGATCGGAGGCTGAATCAACTGATGTGCCATCAGCTAACACTGAGTCCTGTGATGATGTGATGCTAAAGGAGAGGCTTGTGGAGCAGGTTCCTGATGCAGTACAAGTAAAACATGAGGAAGAAGAATTGCCAGTTACACCCTGTACTTCATCTGCCATCAAACAAGAGCATATACTTGAAAGCGACAAAAATCCTGGGCTTGTTCTTGATAATGACCAAGGCAAACCTAAGGTAAAAATTGAGCCAGACAGCCCCATAAGAGAAAATGAACCAGAAAGCATTCTTACAAATGAGCAAGCAGAAAGGTGTTCATTTTCAAGATCCCCATCAAATTCTAGTTCTGAGAGTCAGAAAAAAATTAAAAGAAAAAAAGAACCCATGAAAGACCACAAAAGCACTCAACCAAGATCTAGATCGAGAACACGTTCGAGGGACAGATCTGCTTCACCATCAGTTGAAGAAAAATACAGCAAAAGCTCCTGGGTTAAATCCAAAGCCCGGCATCCATCAAGAGATCGCTCTAGTAGTCATGAGCGGGCAAGGAAAAAGAAAGTCAAAGACAAAACTAAAGAGAAAAAAGCCAAAAGTTCCTGGCCGAAAGAACACAAAAGAGTTAGGTCACGATCTGTTAGTCCTGGTAATTCCTCTTTTGAGTTATATGAGAACAGGAAAAAGAAAAAGCACACTGACCCAGGAGCCAGGGGGCAAGAATCCCATTCGAAAAATACCGAGAGAACTAAAAAAAAGAAACATAGAAGAGAGAGAAGCTATGACAGATTTGAGAAGGATGGGAGCTCAAGATTACGTGAGAGAAAAAGATCAAGATCCAGGTCTCAGGAGAAGAGAAAAAGGAAATCAAGGTCACCTTCATCACGATCCCAGGTGTCCAAAGGAAGTAAATCTAGGGAGAGACAATTACCATCCAGATCACGCTCCAAAGAAAGGAAGCATAAATCGAAAGAGGTGTCACCTCAGCTTCTTAAAGAGGAGGGCCAAAGGTTTTCAGATGACAACTTAGAGGGTTCTCTTGAATGTGCTCCAACTTGGGGTCATGAGTTAGGAGGTATGGCACCAGAAACATTGAATGTTCCTTCAGACCTGATCCCTGAGTCGGAAGTTCCTCCAGAGGATGACATAATGGAGGCTGATTTAAAAGGGGGCATTAAAATAGAGCAAGCCTGTGAGGAGCTTGAGCATGAAACTGTTCCTGCCCAGCAAGACCATACAAGTTCTGAAGTATTTCCTGACAACCTAGATTCTCCTACTGAAATTGAATTGGCAGTGGGCTATGACTCACCAAGTTTTGATAGCCAAATCACTGTGAAAATGGAGGAGATTGAAATTAAAATAGAAGACGATGATGTGTGCCCGTTTTTATCAGACACTGTTCTTCTAAAGAAGGGGAAGCCTGTATCAGGTCATGGTGAGGTTACACCAGTTCCAGCTTTGTCTGAAATCAAAAGACCAACGGAGGTTAAATGTGAGCTACCTATGTTGGATGAGAATATAAGTGATGTAAATAAATCTGAACTGGAGGCTACAGTTCAAGGTCCTATATTGAAATCTAAAGCACCAGTGAAAAGGGTTACCTGGAATCTACAAGAGGAAGAAAGTAATATAGTGACTGCAGACAAAACACCAAGTAAGTGCAAGAGAGGTCTTTTTACCAAATGGTAATGACCAGGAATTTAAAATATTTAAATCAGAGGGTTTTTTTAAAAAAAAACACACACGCATTAAAATTAGAAGTTCAAAACATTGAAAGCAGAAAATGCTCTGCCCTTGGTTTATGTTCTTTTTCACATATATAAGGGAAATGACAGTTTCCAGTTGGCATCACAACTGGAAAATGACACCTACCTTTGTAGGTTTATGTTAAATAAACCATAGAGCTCCTTAAGCATATATCCATTGCTCTGAGTTCTTCAAAAGAATCTCCAAATTATGAAGCCTAGTTGACAACCACTTTTGTCCTGGGGACTCAGTTCCCATGGTGTTATCTTGATTTTAACTTCTCTAGTTCATTTATAAATGTATGAAAGAGAGTTTTTGTACTTATAGAGAATTCACTTAAAAGAGGTTGAAGAAGGTGGCTCACCAGCAGTGTTGTGTGGGATGCAAATTTAGATACAGTGGGCAAAATCTAATCATAGTCCCAAAAATAATATATTTACTGCAATGTATGGAACTTATGTATAACTGGAGACTTCCATTCATTTCTGTGTTTGAGACTGACACAAAAGTTTGCCTGAGTAAATCTGTTGAAATCAATGGGGCCTTTTGGGACATCCTGCTAAGTAGAGCACACTCATTAAGTCAATGGTTGAATCATCATACAGAAGAATCCCATTGATTAACTGAATCTGCTTCAGTCATCCCATAGGTGCATCCCATTGATTAACTGAGTCTATTCTAATCAGGAGCAACAATAAGATTTAGGCCTATGCTAAAATCATCATAGCCTCATCAATCAAGTGCTCTACTCAATCTGGGTCAAATTTATGGACTTTTCTATATGCAGTTCAATGCTTATGAATTACTTACTGTGATTGCTTCTGTTTTTTTATGATAATGAAATGCTTTTTTTTCTTTTGGGGAATTTTAGGAGTGGCATTCTGTAAACAGCAAAGAACAAATGAAGGGGTCTGGAAAGCAGAGGATTTGACCCAAACATTAAATCAGGTACAGTTAACTAAACCACTTCCAACTAATTATATGGTTCCTGAGCCTGTGTTTCCTGATCTAGATTCCAGTCAGGTTGGGTCCTGCTCCAGAAGCTGTGGGTATCTTGGACACCATCCCACTCCATCTGTGAAATCATGCCTTGCCTGTTTCCACTGTGGAATGCTTTTTCTCCCCCCACACGCAGTGCATTTCATACAGTCCATACGCCGATTCAGTAATCTGATTTTCCCATCTCGCATTTTAAAGTAGAAATCATGTTCTGCTTCTTGTGGCTTCTACTTTCCAAAGACTTTATCCTTTAAAAGGAAGGGGAAACTAAAGACATTTTCAGAACAATTATTAGAATGAATATTGATCCTGTTTTTGATAGCTAACACCAAAAGTGATGAAAGGGGCTTATAGCAGTTTCAGCTTTTTGATCTGGTAGAAAGTCCTACACCTTGGAATCCATGAGGACCTCATATTTTGTATTGCTTACTTACTTAGGTGATCCCTCGTAGCCCGAGGATGATGGTCCTCCAAGTCTAGTTTCTTGGCGATGGGTTCGTAGGTGGCTGTGGAGCCCTATTCTTGATCCGCATGTTCTCCCGCAGTGAGGACATCGTATTCCAGGTGGAAGTTTGTATTGGGGAAAGAGTGGCTCCTGACTCCTCTCCTTTTTCTTCAGGTTTACAACCAAAATCTGCCTTTGATGGCCCCGCTGCCCTCCAACTTGCCCCCGTATGCCCCTGTCAGTCAGCCCACTGTCCAGTTCATCATGCAGGGAAGCCTCCCTCTGCTCAGCTGCGTGACAAGCCAGGGACTGACTCCGGAGCCCGGGAATCTGGCCACCGCTTCAGAACCAGGGATTCAGGCCGCTTCCACAGGAGAGGCAGAGGAGACACTGAAAACACCTAAATCTCCAGTGGATAAAACAAAAAACGAAGAGGTGGGTGAACATAAATGGCTAGCGGGCATTGTGGATTTAAGCTAAGCTCATTGAGGTTCTCGGGACATAAAATCTTAGAAATAGCTTATTTGATCAGAACACCCAATCTAAATGACTCATAGAGAAAGCATTGTCCCAGCCTTTGCTTGACTGAAGTACAACACCAGAACATGAAGCTGTTATGGGAAACAGTCAGTAATAGACCTTGTTTCCATGAATGTATTTAAGTGCTTTTCAAGAGCACCTGAGGAGATGACATTCCATAAATTGGAATAATATGGGAAACAAGTGAAACTTTTTGTTGCAATTCTATTTAACAGATGTGAACTTTCACATTCTTCATAACTCTTCATCAGGCATGATGGTACCAAAATTAGAGTATAAAGGAAGAAACAAAGTTTCCACAGGTACGCCCTAGTAGTGTATTGGCCATCATACGTCTGACATGACATACTGTAACATGATTACTCCAGGTTCAGCAAAGAGCAGGCTGTTAAAGAACCAGCCTTAGCTTGTGTGCAAACACAGTCAATATTTTCTTTCACTTTTCTCCCAAAGAGTTGGCTGGTACACTGAGAAGTGCTTACTGCCTTTTAGAAAGTTTGCAGATTCCTGAGCTGTTTTGTAACATGATGCAACAAGACAGTCTTCTTCCCAGGAAAACCTAAACAGTTAATTGTGGTACTTTTCATTGACTTTTTGTTTCTTCCTTCATCTCATAATACTTGTATTTTTGTGTTTGATGAAGAGTTCTGGCAAATTTGAAAACTTTCTAGCACTGTAATGATCTTATAAAAGATATTGCCTATATTTGTTTTAAAATGATGCAGTTTATGAAGAACTCACTTCTTTTCATTTGCCCCAGACTTCCTGCCTGTCATTTTGGTTGGATGATTCAACATTCTGATAGAGGAAGAGACAGTATATTTCTCCAATTCATTCCCATTTTTACTAATTGTATAATGTAGTATCATATTCTTTTTCTGCTGTTCTCTTCCTAAGCTAACAAGTCTCTGTTTCATCAGCATTTGTTCATAGAGAAGATGTTCTATATTTTGATACCAGTGACGGTTTACGATAAATAAATAAAATCTATATGCTATCTATTTTGCTATTTTTACACCTTTTTCAGCTTTGCTACATCCTTTTGAAATGCCCATATATGGAAGTTAGCAAGGAAAGGCATGGCTGTGAATTCTTATTAAGCACTTAAGAGACTGAGAAACAACCAGCCTATGGATTGAGGAAAAATATTACGAGCTTTTGCCATTGACACTTTTTGGAGATTTTATGTCAGTGAGAAATATGAATTTCATCTTAAAATAAGCCTTATTGTATTCACTTTGTGCATAAAGGCATTTTTGAGGTCCCAAAGCTAAGGTCTGGCACTGAACTGAGAACAGCTGGCCCCTTCTAGGACAGAGTCCTGACTCTATGATAGAAATCACAGCTGCACATCTCATCTAATTTGGGGGTTTTAACATAACAAAAGAGCAACATCAGTATGCTCCTTTAATGTAAAAACTGTTGCTCTGATGTTCTGATCTGATATGCTGTTTGTAATGTTGTAGATTGTCGATTGACCCCATTCTTGTTCTTCTAGTACATGAAGAAACTTCACATGCAGGAGAGGGCTGTGGAAGAAGTGAAACTTGCCATTAAGCCCTTCTACCAGAAGAGGGAGATCACCAAGGAGGAATACAAGGAGATTCTCCGGAAGGCAGTGCAAAAGGTGACATTGGAGTGGGCAAATCTTATTTTAATTACAGGCAGAGAGATATGAGGGAGTTGTAAATATCCCCAAACACTTTGGGAGCTGGGTTTCAGCTGAGGACACAGACATGCTCTGTTTTTTGAAGATTGCTAGAGAGGGGTCCTTCTCGGGAGTGACTCACTCTCTTTGAAATGCCCTTCCAGGGGAGATTATATCTGCACCCTCTTTGTTGGCATTCAGGAAGAGCCTAAAAAACTTCCTTTTTAAGGAAGTCTTTGGAAGAAACTAGTGATATCTGAAGGTTAGGAAGGCCCTTCAACTTCGTTACTTATCAGGGTGGTTTTAAATGTATTTTATATGGGTTTTAGGAGGGTCCTCTGGTGGTGCAGTGGTTAAAACCGCTGAGCTGCTGAACTTGCTGACTGAAAGGTTGGGGGTTTGAATCCGGGGAGTGGAGTCCCACTGTGAGGCCCAGCTTCTGCCAACCTAGCAGTTCAAAAACATGCAAATGTGAATAGATCAATAGGTACCGCTTCTGCGGGAAGGTAACAGCACTCTGTGCAGTCATGCTGGTCACATGACCTAGGAGGTGTCTACAGACAATGCTGGTTCTTCAGCTTAGAAATAGAGATGAACACCACCCCCCAGAGTTGGACACAGCCAGATTTAAAGGCAGGGAAAACCTTTACCTTTCCTTATAGAGGTTTTAATTAGTTTTCACAGCATTTGCTAATACTTACAGTTTTAACTTGTTTTTAATTTTTATATTGTATGTTTGTACCGGCTGTAAGCCTCCTTGGGCCCTTGACTGGGGAAAAGTGGGGTAAAAATTCATAAATAAATAATAAATAAATTTTAAGTAGTTAATTTGAACTGAGGGAATCTGGGATGATTTGGAGTAGCCTTCCTCTAAGATTATTGAATCTGACTTGTTTTCCTTTTACTATTCCTAGATCTGTCATAGCAAAAGTGGTGAAATCAACCCAGTGAAAGTGGCTAATCTTGTGAAGGCTTATGTTGAGAAATATAAACATATAAGGAAGCATAAAAAGACTGATGCTGATGAAGAGCCTCGTGAAATGGGGAATTGAGACGAACAGGGAAGGGCTTTTCTACGCAATGACTTGTCCTTTGAGAGGGAGGCAGGGAAGTGCAGTTGCATGTTGCAGCCCCCTCCTTTAGAAACTGGATGCAATTGGACCTTCTTGAAGGGAAGACACCCTTTTCACAAAAGAGTAGGATGTGATCCTACTTGAGAACCATGTGTCCTCCTTACCTTGGGGAGAGACTCTGGATGGAAGACACTTGGGGCGTGTTGGAAAGTATCCTATCATTTGTCATGGTTATACTTTGATCACATTTCTTTTGAGGGTATATGGATCTGTCCTTACAGTTTAAAGCAGACACTTTTATATGCAGTACATAACAATCTATGTTGCTCTCCTTGTGTTCTTATTTATCAGAAATATGGATTCTTTAGAGATTTTTCAGAAGCCGGTTTACTACTTGAATTGTGGTACTTTTCAGCCTGTTGTGTGACAGAAATGTTAACTCAAGTCTGCCGTATGGGAATTACAGATGTGTGCTAACCTTTACAAATCCTCTTCTGAAATTCTTCTAAGTTAGCACATGTTGTTAAGGTATATCAGTGGTTTATTTCTTTGGGGACTTGTGGGAGCATGACGATGGGGAAAACAAATTACATCACGTCGTGTAAATAATATGGTGAAGGCTGGTTTTGGATTCAGCAATTAGCTGAGGGGATAGAAGAAAGTTGCAGAGTGTCAATAGTGATGCCAAGGAATGTGGCAGAAGTATGTACAAAACAGAAATGTGACAATTTATAAAGTTATTTTGAATTTTTCTTGTTCAGACTTGTGTTTGTCCTAATTCTGGTATGATTCTTTGATTAAGTATGCTTAACTAAACAAAAGTATTTCTTGCAAAATAGCCCAGCATACAATTTCTGGGACTTGTGAATCAGGAACTGACTGTTGGATGGTATGTATGTTGGGGGAGTGGGCTTAATAACAAAAGACCCTCCTCATAAATGTACAGCAGAGTAACTTATTAGCAGGAGCATGACCAGCAAACCAGTAGACCAAAGTGATAAAAATAACAAAATCACACAGATCAGTGTTGTACCTTCCATAGAAGGCTTTTCTTTGTAGTCAAATAATATAGTTGCACTATTTACAATAACAAGGTTTCTATAACACAAATAAATACATAGTAGCTTTACACGCAGCAGCTTTCACACGCTAGAGCTTTAAACATGAGGCTTCTCTCACACAGAGGTTTACCTCCCACTCCTCAGGACAACACTAGCTTTGGCCCACTAACTCCAACAGGCTTTGACCTACTAACTCTTTCAATGCTTGACTCACACTTTTGAAATAAAAAATTCCCAGTTAATTTTTAATATTTCTGGCAATGTATTTGTTCAGACATACATATGCATAGACATCAATTTGGGTATAACGTCGCATACACTTGTTGTCATCAACATGCTAATTGAGGCTGGAGAATCTCCTAAATCTTTTGTGAGAGCTCCAGCTAAGCTGGTGCTTCCTTCAGAATTAGGCATTTCCCTAAGCTTTTAATTCACATTGATGAAAGTAGTATAGAGAGGAATGAATGCAGATGGCAGAAAAAAGGATGATAAATTCATTACTCATGTACGATACTACACCACCATGTAATTGATCTGCTGCTGCTTCCAATTACATTTTACTTCATTTGCTATCATGAGTTAATAAGTTAGAGATCTGTGCAAAGAATGCACTTTCTGTTAAATATCATAAATTATAGCTTGTTTATTTAGCACAAGGTCAGCCCAGTGTGGCCTTAGGGGAAGAATGTAGCCTTCCAAGACCATTTTTGCATTCTGTGTTCCCTTCCCCTGCCCAGATTCCCTCTGAGTCCCATTTAAAACGGGTGGAATTTTTTTTCTAGGGAAAAACTGAATTCTAGCTCCTGGGACATTCCAGGAACTGCAGTTCTCCTTTTAAATAAGTTCAAGGGCCTCTCTTACCATTTAACATGCACAGGAAACCAAATAAACCATGGCTTTGCTTCAATTACAGAAATGGACTTCAAATACTTCTGTTTACTTTCTTTGCAGTCTGTGCTACCCCTGCAAGATTTTCAGTACAGAACATTGGTCCCCAATCACCGTACTGGCCTGATAAATGTAACTTTCTCACTGCTGTATTTTAGTAGTACTGTAAAAGCCAAAGCCACACAGCACGTTTAGTGAACCAAGACATAAGATAGTCTACTTATAATGTCATTCCTCTTACACAGTATCCAGTATGTAGATATTGGATAAAATCTACATGGTCCTTTCAGGAGCTTCTAATAATAATTCTGTGGTTCTGCTGTCTTTGAAAAACAATTATGTTTGATATCTAGGATGTATTTCATGCTGTTTAGGATTCTTCACAAACAGGAGATACTTAAAATCGCTTCTGAGAAACATCGAGCATTTCGCTTGCACTCTCTTACATAGAACATTTTACCATAGAAGAGCTAACACAATTGTGAGCAAGTTCCAGATTGACTGAATATTACAAGTTCTTCCTTCCCAGAGCATGTATTCAGAAGGCTGTGCTTGATGGAAAGTGAGATCTCACTTTCATTTCAGTGCCGAAGGAATAGGTTGTGACAAGGCATTCCCTGTATTCTTGAACTTCAACATACCTTGTTGAAAAGGTATGTTGAAGATCAGTTGCAGCAAGTGGTCTAATTGAACCTTCATCACAGCATGGACAATTATCAGGAACACTGGGAGTTGTAGTCCAAAGCATCTGAAGAGCATTCAGTTGAAGGAGATTGAAGATGACTTGTAGGGATTCTCTTATCCGCCATAATTGTATTGCTTCTATACTTGCTCCTCTGTTGGGGCTACAGTCCCCATGTGTCTTTCAAGGTGATCTGCGCAAGGGATCGAGTAAAGCCATTAATGCAAACTCAACCAGCATAGGAAAACCCATAGAAGCAAGCATTGTATCGCAGTGACTTGCAGTCTCTCAAGTAGCTCCTGACATGAAAAAACAACAAAACAGGACCTACAGGGCAATCTCTTTGTAAGGAAGGGCTTAAAACTCATTCAGGATACATGTGCACAAAGAGCATTCAGAGAAGTTCCCTGAGGATTTTAGTGTTTTTGGCACCTATGTTAATAACATCCAGAAAGTGATTACATAATAAAGAACAATGATGACAGTAGCAGCACATGTAATTAAACAACTATCAACTGAGAGAAAATACACAAGATCTAGTATTGACTGACAAGATTTCCTGTGTCAGAATAATTGACTGTCCACACATTTTGGACTATAACACAATCTCACCTTCAGCCCTGCTAAATGAGGCTGATAGACAAATCTGAAAGGCAAGATTCCCCCCCCCCCTCTCCCTCACAGCCCACCCCTGCTCAGACTTCTGCTCATCTTTTGAAAGCCACAAAAATAATATAATGCAATTGTATTACATGTAATGTAATGTATATCTCCATTCACAGGGAACAGATATTATCACTAGAAAGTCAGTAGATTTAAAGCAACACTATATCTTCAAGAAAGAAGGCCACAAGCAGGGGAATGTGAAGAAGAAAACACTTTTGCAACTTTAGATACAGGGAAATAGCTATTTTGAGGGCAATTTTCTTTCATAGTGAGCACTTTGTACTTCCTTTTTTCCATTGTGTGTAGGGTGGGAATTGTTAATGTGTAGTCGTTTTGAAGTGGACTGTGGGAAAAAGAAGGTGGAGTTAAAAGCATTTTCTGCCAAATTGAGGAATTGAAAGCAAATGGCTATGAATTTCATAGTTTTTAAGACAAGAAACACCCAAATGTGGTTTTGTCAATTTCTTCCTCTAAAATACAGCCTGTAGAACCTGGTACTTATTTGGAGTCTACAATCCAAGTGACCCTGCATAGCTTTCAAGATCAGACACAATTTGGTGCCTTTAAGGTATTTTGCTGTCTAGGGTTCCATTTGCTAAAGAGAGAACAGAAGGACAAAAACATGGCCCAACATGGATCTAGTGAGTACCAGTCTGATTTGTACTGATTGCTGTTTACAAGAGAGAGAAGCACCCCCTGGCTGCACTCCTAGGGCTAAAAGCATTTTGGGAACAGGGGACTTTTGATTCCCCCCAAGGCTAACCTATCACAGGGTTTTCTTGGCAGAATTTGTTCAAGAGGGCTTGCCTTTGTCTTCATCTGAGACTGAGAAAGTGTGACTTATCTGAGGTCATTCAACATGTGCTTGAGGATCTGAACCCTCAACTCCCAGTGTCTTAGTCTAACACTCTTAACAACTGTATCAACCTGGTTCTGATTCAGTCTTTATAAGAACTTAAAACTTTTCCTCAAATCAATACTCTGGGAGAATGGGGGCAGAGGAATCTTTATCTGCTTCTTGCTTGCTCACTCCTTCACTGGGGACAGTTTCTCAACTTGGGCTATCTCAGCAGCAGCAGAAACCAATTTTTCTGCATGTATGTGTAGTTTCAGGCATTTGGGTACAGTTTTAGGAAAATCACACTTTTTTGAAATTGGAATTCAAGGGGCTGGTGAAGGTCTTAAGGAGCACACAGACTAAAATACTGTCCCCACACAGGTTTTCAATTGTTTGTCTTCATATTTTTCTTGGCTCTTTGGTGTATCAAGAGATATGTTTATATATGCAGTAAAACACCCATTCAAAACTGACTGAGGATCAATATTTCAGCCTGTCTGGGAGATCCATGGAAGATACAATATTTAGATGTTAACTCACACATTAAATGTTTCCTGAATTGCATTCTCATGAATCAAAGTGCAACATTTTGTTATGTGAAGTAAAGTCCATTGGTGTCTCATGGAGTTTGGTTCCAGAACCCTCTGTAGATACCATTTATTTATTTATTTATTTATTTATTTATTTATTTATTATTTAAACTTATATGCCGCCACTCCCCTGGGGCTCGGAGCGGCTTACAAGAATAGCTAAAATCTAACAAAGTTTAAAAGCAATTTAAAACAATTTAAAACAACAGTATCAAACATTAAAAGCCTGTCGGAACAGGTATGTCTTACATGCCCTGCGGAAAGCTGGTAAGTCCCGCAGGGCACGAACTTCAGGTGGCAGAGCATTCCAGACTGATGGCGCCACTGCTGTGAAGGCTCTGCGTCTGGTTGCCGTTAGACGCAAGGTCTTGACACTGGGGACTTCCAATAGATCTTGGTCCTCAGACGGAGGGATCTCTGGGGTTGGTAGGGGGTGAGACGGTCCCTCAGATACATCGGCCCCAGACCATGCAAGGCCTTAAAGGTGAGTACCATCACTTTGAAAGTGATCCTGTGCTCAATTGGTAACCAATGCAGCTGTAGTAAGATTGGTGTTATGTGGCATCTCATCGGAATTCCCGCAAGAAGCCGAGCAGCTGCATTTTGTACCAACTTGAGCTTCCGAATCACCGACAGAGGGAGGCCAATGTAGAGGGCGTTACAGTAGTCCAGTCTTGAGATGACCGTGGCCTGGATCACTGTAGCTAGGTCGTTCCTGGACAGGTAGGGGGCCAGCCGTCTAGCCTGCCACAGGTGAAAGAAGGCGGTTCTGCTCACGGCGGAGACCTGGGCCTCCACTGTCTGCAGAGGGTCCAAAAGGACTCCCAGACTCTTTACCAATGATGACGGTAAAGAGTCTGGGAGTCCATAATCCATCAATGTTCAAGTCTTATTATATATACAATGGTGTAATATAAAATGACAAAACCAACGTTTGATTTAAAATAATACAGTTGAATTCATGGATGGAAAGTCTGTGGCAACAAAGGAGCAACTATAATTTTTTTAGCACTATATCTGGAAAATTATTAACTTGGAAGGAACTGACCAACACCCATTTTGGTGGTTCAAATGTTACCCCTTCTGAGCATATTTGACATGCTGGTTCCATCAATGGCATCAGTTTCCCCCTATCAGCTGTCATTGTTGAGATACAGGAGATATGGCACATACCAGTTGCCATCTACTCACCATAGAAAACCATGACAACCATATGTAAAAAAAAAAAAAACCTGGATCTGATGCAATTTTCTGAATCAGCACTCCAAATAACACCATAAACAGGCTTAAAAACCACGCCACCAATAAACAATATTTTTGTTGGGCTGTGTTATTAAAACAGCCTCAAGGATGTTTTAAGATTGTAATCCAAGCAATCTCTCCTCCTCTGTTAACCAGGGCAAGGGCAAAGTGAGCGTTCCAGTGAAATTACTCTTTCCAGACTCAGGCTCCGAGTGCTGCCTCTTGAAGTCTTGCAGAACAGCAACACCGAGAACTTGAATTTGGACCGGAACAAATTGAAATACCTCACTGGGATCTCAAAGCTTTATAACCTGAAAAAGCTTATTTTGTCAAAAAATGACATAACAGACTTCCCAGAGGAAATCAGGAACTTGATCCATCTAGAGAAGCTGGAACTCAATCAGAACCAAATCCGAACTATACCAGAAGGAGTCTTTTCCTATTTACCAAAGTTGAAGCATCTCCGATTGAACAATAACCGCTTAGATGGTCTCCCCAAGGACTTGGCTTCCAGCAGCAAAAGTCTCCAGTATCTCAACCTGTCCAACAACCTTTTCCAAACCATCCCTTTGGTGATCTTGGAGCTTAGGAGCCTGCAAGAATTTTATGTACAGAATAATATGTTGCGACGGCTTCCTGTAGAGATGTTCCAAGTAGTGCCACTGAAGATGTTCAAGGTAAATGGGAACCCACTGAGAGAACCCCCTTTTGAGGTGTGTGCTGGAGGAATCGGGCAGATCATCAGCTACTTCAATCAGTTGAAGAACTGTCAGGCTGAAGAGGAGAGGCGGATAAAGACACTGTTCTTGGGGTCTTCCTTAGCAGGGAAGTCTACCATATGCAAAAGCCTGAAGCAAAGACAAACAGTTCAGCTATCAGAAGAAGAGCGAACAGTTGGGATTGACATCAGTAAATTCCATATGGAAGGTTTCATGTTTCTCTTTTGGGACTTTGCTGGCCAGCTGGAATATTACATGACCCACCATGTGTTCATCACTCCACAGGCACTTGTCATCTTGGTCATTAACTTTCAACAGTAGGTATTTTCTTGCCCACCTGACAAACTTGAGGCAGGATCTTAGACAGCATAGTTTTTAATTCCCACTAGTTTAAGTGGGAATTATGCTCCTTTTTCCTACTTGAAACAAATGGACTTTAATTTTTTTAACATCAGTTAGATTTGTTCTCATGGTAAAGAGGTCCTGTCTCACAAGTGAAGCTGATTATAATTTCCACTCCCATTAGCTTACTGCTATCTCATTGGCATTGTAGACAGAGTTTAGAACATATTTTTGATTACAAGTTCAAAGTCAGAGAATCTTCAGCCAGTGTATTTGTGGCCAAGTGGCTGTGAGATTCTGGACTATTGTATTCCTTCTCCAAAAAGTCACCCCCCCCCCCCAAAGCTTTTTTGTATATTTCACTGTAACCCAGAGATGAAGATCATGAGGCCATTCTGATGTTTGAGGGGAAGTCTAGGATTATCAGATAGCATAGCCAATGAGGAGGACTCCTGGGTGCTACTCCTGGAAAGCCAGGTTTCTGCAGTGGCCACTAGTGCCTTTACCCAGCTTCTGCAGGTGTGCCAGTGGTGCCCTTTATTGGGGAAGGCAGATTTGGCCATAGGGATTCATGCCTTAGTTATCTCTCAATACTATAATGTAGTCTATGTGGGGCTGCCCTTGGAAAGCTGTAGCCTGGACAAAATGCAGCAGTCAGGCTTGTGTTAAGTGTGCATTTTAGAGACCATATAACATCAATCCTGCAAGAACTGAGCTGGCTTCGAATTTGCTTCTGAGCTCAATTCAAGGTCCTGGTGTTGACATACAAAATCCCCAACAGCTTTGGGCCAGAAATTTCAGAACTTCAGAGGAAGCACTGTGGCATGTCCCTGACCCAACTGATTGCAGAAGGCTGACAATTTATAATTACTGAATTTATTGTCATGGCGTGCCCTGATATATAACCCATACTCCAAAACAACTCTAAAGGTCTTGGCTACCAAGTGCAGCAGAGATCCATCTTTGTATGGCCATCCCAGTTGGTTGGTATTTAGCATTTTTCCTAACCTTTTACTTTTGTAGGTACCAACTGAACAATGACTCCTTCAAGGAGCTTGTTGGTTTCTGGATTAACAACCTCTTCATGCGAGTGCCAGACTCTGTGGTCCTTCCTGTGGGGACCCATATAGATGCCTGTGATGAGAAGGAAGTTGAGGAAAAGAAAGAGGACATAATGGACAAGATCCAGGCCATGCTAGAGGAGAGGAGGATCAACCTTGCCCACCTCATTGCCAACCTGGAGGAAAATGAGGAGTCAGAGTTCTATGTGGATCAATGGAATAGACTGAAAGAAATGGAGACACACACCCTTACGGTGAGGAATATGATGGTGTATGGGGTGCATTTAGTTTGTCCAAAAACCTGTTCAGTGGTAACTGATAGCTGCCATGTCAGTGAATCTGCTCCTGGTCTTTCAAGTCCATGATTTGAGGGAGCCATTCAAAGTGATCTGCCATACCGCATAAATAAGCACTTTTAAATCCAATTGAAGCAAATTCACTGCATCACTAACATATAATCTGTCACCAACTGATAGGAAAACAGAAAGAAATATAATTAAATTCCAAAAAGTGTACATATCTGCTATAACTGCTCTCTTAATCATTATTGTATTTTAACAATGCATGAAATCAATTGAGGTGTGGGTGGGAAGGATTGAACACAGTATTTCACCTAACTGTTAGTTTGCTACTCATCTCCAGTGAATGGTCAGCAACTACTAGACCTCTGAGAGGTGCCACCTGTCCCATAGCAGTGTTTGAAGACATATTTTCCCACCACCTGCAAGAGGCATACAGACTTATTCTTAATTCATTTGCCTTGTGAGCATCATCATACCTCAGAGTATGGGCGAAATTAGTTAGGTAAAAGCTTAATGATTTGTCCACTGACCGTATTAACAGTAAAAGAAAAAAAACCAAAAAACCAAAAAGTACACAGATAAACACTAATCACTAATAACTATCCTAAAACTCCTGTAATAATGAACTAACGTACATTAAAACACAATTAGGACTTGATTAAATTAAAAGTTAAAAGTAATTAAAATATCATAATTAAAATGCCAAGGTAAAACTTCATACCACAAAAGTTAAAAACAAAGTTAAAAACAAAGGTTAAAATAGACCAACTATTACACAATCCCAATCCAGTTCAGATATCTGTGTCATCGCTACAGTTTACCCCAGTCATCTCCAAAAACACATAGTATTGGTAAATTGCTTCTTGGATTATAATTCCCAGAGTCCTTTCACATTGCAAAATTATAGCACTGTGGATTCAACTTTTACTACAATTGTGACATCCTATTAAATGTTGTGATTTACAGTTCAGGGAGGAATATTTTGACTCCTTAGAGAGGTCCTTTGGCATCTCTGACCAAGCACACATCCCAGGATGCCACGGGATGCAGCCATGGCAATTAAAGTGGAATCATAACACTATAAATGTGTAGTGTGAAATGACCTCCAGGATCCCTCCAGCTAATATGGTCTACACAAGCAAAGTTTCTAAGTTTTTATAATACCTTGTAGCAGTGAGTTTCATGCTGTGGGAAGAAGTAATTCCTGCTTTGGCCTGCTGTGAATTGCCTTGGTGTGCCAGACATGTCCTTCTCCCTCCCTGCACCAAATGACACTCCAGAAAAACTGGGGTGGAGCCCCTAGAAGCTCCTACAATCAGTTTTAAATATTTTTCCTCTGTTGCATGCTGTCAAGCATTTGAAGTGTTGCTTCTATGTGTGTGTGTGTGCATTCATGTGTATTTTCCACCCCAGATTTTAGACCTTGTTTGTGTCAATTGCTTGGATTACCAAGACATTAAAATACTTGAAGGTACAATTTTAGACCATGTCAAGAATGAAGAAATATTTCCTAATATCATCCAAGTGCTTCCTCCTATCTATAAACAAGTCGAAGCTGCAATTGTGGATATTGTGCAAAACAGTCAAGAAGTGGCAGAGCACGGCAAGTATCGTTTCTCTTGATCATTCTCTAGCACCCCTCTCTTCCCACTCCCTTTTCAGATTAATGTGCGCGGTAATAAAACCCTCCCAAAAGCAATGAGAATTAAACCAGTGGCAAGTATTGAGATAATAGAAAATACTTGGATCATCTTGGATGTCAAGATGTTAAGCTTACATAGATTTGCAACCATCCTAAATTTAAGGCAGATGTCAATTTATAAAGCATTGAGTGAAAACAGAATACAATTTGATCTAATTATACAATTTATTAAATAAAATAGTCACTGGTTGTGGATGCAGACATGCGAGTGTGTAACTTGCCCATGATAACCCAGTGAGGATTCAAATCTTAGGCCCCTTCTTCATTTTTCTTTTTCTTGGCATTTTGTGTTTCTGCTTTGTACAGTGTTTCTTTTTTTTTTTGGTTCACTTTTTTTTTACTTTAATGTAACTTTTAAAACTTTTTCAATAAAGTTAATTAAAAAACCACTTCCTGTCTTGATCCTTTAGGGATGATGGAGCTCAGCCTCTTGCACAGTGAGCTATCCTGGGTACGTCACCTGACTCACTTGGATGGAGAACTTATGCGAGACATCCTACGGTACCTTCACCGTATTGGACTGATTGTATGGTATGAAGAAGTCAAGCATCTGGAAAGCACAGTTTTTCTACGTCCAGCCATTCTGATAACCATATTCAAAGTGAGTATCATTGAGTGTCCTTAGTTGCTTCCACTGTTAGAAGTGAATGAAAATTGAGCCTACAAGTGTACTATTTTACTGTATATTTACCCCTCAGGATTCCTATTTTCCACAGCCAAATTTCTCTCATTATACTCTCACACAAGAAGTGCCATATAGCATTAATTTATTTACTTTATTTCTTGACTTCACTTATATACTGCTTTTCTCACCCTTGGGGACTCTAAGCAGTTTCTAGCATATTCACAGCAAAATGCAATGCCTTCCAAAACATGAAAACTTAACATAAAACAACAGCAACATAAAACTATCAATTACATCATATAGTGTAACTACATTTAAAAATTAAAACACGGGATTAAAAACATATTAATATAAACATTAAAATCACATGATCCAGAAGCATGGTCCAGGCCGTTCCAATATAAAATAACAATTGCACATAATCCGTATTAGTTTCTTGTCCTGCTTACTGCTCAAATGCTTGGTTCCACAACCAGGTTTTTGTTTTGCTTTTTTTTCTGAAGTTTTCTCCTGCTTTATTGTTTCCTATTGAACACTAATGGAATATTAGTGATTAATACAGGTTGAGCATCCCTTATTTGGAATTCTGAAACCCTAAAATCTGAAATAGTCCACATAGTGACACCTTTGCTTTCAAATAGTTTAATATATACAAAATTCAGGGGAAATACAGAAACTAATGAAATTAATGATGCCTCTTCATCCAGACAGGGAGCATTGCTTTCTACTCCAAAAAGGTCTGGAGCCATTGTTTTATATTCTTTCCCCTCTGTTGTATATTTTGTGAGAGAGACATTACAAAACCTGGAATAGTGTAAAAACTGAAGGAGGACTACCTTCTGTCCTGCGGTGTGGCTTGTACTGAAATGAATACCAACTTAGTGTCTTCCCCCATGCTTTCTTCAAATCACCTGGTCATCTCACCCTAGAGCCTGATTAACTTTCTTCCAGTTCTTCTAAGGTAAACTATAAGACTACACCTCGTATGTGATGGACTGCATCTCAATCATTTTTAAAAAAATGTTTCTGCTCTTCTAGACCCTTGTCCGGTATGGCCTGATTAAACAACTGGAAAACATTTCTGTAGACATCTTGATAGGAGAGCACGCAACTATCCGAGACCGGGCCAACTGGGTATGGACATTTAAGTCTAAGGCCATGCTGTGCCAGAGAGCCATAAGGGCTTTACTCAAGCACCAGCTCTGCATGGATGGCATGAGGGATCTTTTTGAGGAAATGGCGGGTACCAGGTCCAAGAAGGGGAAGCTCTTCAGCCTGCTGGAACACTTTGAGATCTGCCTGGAGGTCAGAAATGCAAGGGGACTCAGTCCCAGAGCCAGGCCCTTTGTGCCTGGGCAGCCATGGGAAATTGTGCAAGGCCACAAAGAGGAAGCACTCTACTTATTTCCTACCTACCTTAACCAGAGTGAGGAAGTATCCATGGTGTGGGGAGGAGATCATGTGGAGGATCTTCATATCCGCCTGTACTTTTCTCCTGAGATTCCAGAGGGCTTCTTCCAAAGGTATTACTTTATTGTATTTATTTACTTTGTTTTCTATCCTGTGCTCTCTCCCTCACTGAGGGACTCAGAGTGGCTAATACTTGGCAACAATTTGATGCTGTTCAACATAATACAATATGAATAGAAAATACATAAACTCACAAACACAAAAATTAAAACAGCAATATATAAAACATGATAAACAGTATTACAAGGTATACCTAGTGATTTTGTAGGAGTTGTGTGGACACAGTGACCAGGAACCTCTTAGTGGCACATGCAGACATAACCCCTCATTATGGTTGCATATGTATTTCTGGAGACAATACAGGGCAAGGTATCCTGTACCTCCTTGCTCACCCTTCATCTGGGAGTAGAAACACAGCTACTCACAAGCAGAGGTTTATTTCCTGAGCTGTCATCTTACATGGAGCTATTCTGGCTACTCTCACATATCAAGGGTGCCCTATTGCCCTGGAATGTGAAACAGCAGGCAGAATACACCCAAGTACACTCACTTACCTAGGGGATGAAGCTAAACTTTTAGCCCAATGGCTTCTCAAAGAAGAAGTGGGTAGAGAGAGTCCCCCTGAAAACAGCATAAGTATGCTGATGGAGACTTGAATTTCACTAGTAGGCCTCTTGGATCTCAGATCTTCAGGCAGTCAGTTTTGCTGTTGCAGTGCTCTTTTAATAATAGAAAGTAGCCGATTTGCATAAGCAATTATCATTTGCAGGGATGAGCCAATCATTGCAATGAAAGATGGATGGCAGGCAGATGGGAGCCTCCTCAGTGGCTGCTGTGTGCAACTGTTGCTACTTGTATGTATCAAACCTGGTGTATATCTGGTGGAGAAATGTGCAGTTAGGAGGTATGCCTCTTTATGTGTTGAAACAGAAAAATGGAGGACTTGTAAGAGGACTAGCTCTTAAGTGTTAAGACATCTCTGGATAGGAGACTCTTCTGTCACACGTGAACTGATGCAAACACGTGTGGTTTTCTTAAGGAGGGGGTCATTTTCACCTTATTTTCAACCATTGTTGGGCTCATGGGAGGTCTGGAAGAAAATTACAGTGCTGTGCTTTACATTTTGGTATAGTTTAGAAGTGATTTTTGTAGCATCTACATGGCAACTGAAAGTACTAGCTAATGGTTCTCTCTTTCCAGGCTCATGGTGAAGTCTTGCTCCTTCTACTCAACACACTGGGTTGCAAAAACAATATGCCTGCTCATCTGCAGTGGCAAACCATTGCTGATCAAAGCAAACAACCAAAAAGGATACAGCTATATTGAACTCAGGTGCAGAAAACCAAGAGAAAGGGCAGGTATTTTCTTCTGTAACTGAAATATTTTTAGCTGCCTTTCAGGACTATGTCCTCACAGAGCAATGTACAACAAGAAAGATGATGTGGTACAACAAATACAAAAATGAAAACATGCAGTGTTTTAAAAAGTTGCTATGCACACACATATTAATCATCGTTGTAAGTTAAGATAGTATTGCAAAAGGGCTTCAAGGCACATACAAATGCAAGCAGTGATGAGGCTAAACATATACTATGTATTGTTGAAGGCTTTCATGGCCAGAATCATTGGGTTGTTGTAGGTTTTTTTGGGCTGTATGGCCACGTTCTAGAAGCATTCTTTCCTAACATTTCACTTGCATCTATGGCAGGCATCCTCAGAGGTTGTGAGGACTGTTGGAAACTTGGAAAATTGGGTTTATATATCTGTGGAATGTCCAGGGTGGGAGAAAAAACTCTTGTTTGTTGGAGGCAGGTGTGAATGTACATATACTGGTTGGAAGAGAGTGCAGTGTATAAGGGCCAGTACTGAGATGGTTTAACTTTTCATGCCTCCCAAACTAGTCAACAAGCTATCAAGAAGAACTTATGAGAAATATCAGAATTGTATTAGTAGCAATAATTGCTTGATAAAATGGTCCCAATCTGTTGTTGTTAATTGCCATTAAGTTGACTTTTGACTCAAAACGTTGCACTGGAGAACTAGAGAATTCCTAGAGAGGCCCCCCCCCCCCCCCCCCCCCCAGAAGTGGATAAATTACAAATACCGGTCCCCTGCATATGGTGGTTGTACCGAATTACAGGTACATTGAAACAATTAAGGAAGTTGCAGCACTGAGTTTACAAGATCTATGCAGGATTGCTGATTACCAGGGCTTGTGGAAGTCTCATTTTTAGGGCCATCATAACTTGAAGCTGAATTAACAGTAAACAAGCTATACCCCATGATGCATTTATTTTTTGCCTGCATGCAACACTGAGGTTAAGTAACCATTCTATTGCTTGTGTGGTATTGGTGTGAGTCGTTGGGAGATTCCTTTTCTTTTGTCTTTCTGTGCCTTTTTGTTTTGATAAGCACGTAAAAGGTGAGTCTCTCTCCTCCTTTCCTCCAATGCGTTCAGTCCCCCATAGCTATAGATGCAACCACTCTTATTGATTCTTAAACCAATGACTAGTGCAAAACTTCTCTCTCCCCCCCCCCTTGGTATGTTTTTAAAAGGATTCCAATTATCGTGGAACTTCATCATGACAGTAATCTCCATCAACCAAAAATTGTTGGAAGAATGGCCAGGTCTCCATCTTTGTGTAAAAGCGCCTTGTCGAACAGCTGGATGCCCTGCAGAGTTTGTCTGGCCAGATGTGGATGACAAGACCACAGTGTAAGTAGTCTCTCCTGTTTCCATTGACTCTATCTGTTAGATCAGGGGTTCTCAAACATTTTTAGCTGTGGAGCCCTTTTTGAAGCAAAAGTTTCTTGTGGAGCCAGGCAAGTGGCAAATGGATGGAGAGTGATTCTGCATGAACTAATTCACACAATGCAATCCCCCCTCCCAACAAAACCCCAAACCAAACTAATATTTTAAATGAAGAACAATTTTAAAAAAAACTTAACAGTATTTCAGTGGAAGACCCCTAGGGCCATCCAGTCCAACCCCCTTCTGTCATGCAGGGAAAACACAAAGCATGCCCAACAAATTGCCATCCGGTCGTCGTCTTCTTCTTCTTCTTCTTCTTCTTCTAAGCCCAAGGGGGTTGGGGCATCCATGGAGCTCCTGAACACCTCTCGCGGAGCCCCAAGGCCTCCCCAGAGCACAGTTTGAGAAGTGCTGTATTAGAATATGCAATCTCAACTTTCCAGCAGCCAACAAACACCTTCAACATAAAATTAAAAATACAGTTTCTCATCCACTGGAACCCTAATTTGGGGTAAGGGTTATTTATTTATTGTGTCAGAAGTGAATTGAGAATACAGTTATAATATATAGGAAAATACTCTGGCACCACGAGGTGCAGTAATGGCGGTACAAAGTGGAGTCCACAACATACGGGTGTGGAGAAAAGCAAACCACAGACCCCTTACTACATGCTGCCTCACAGACCTGTAGTGAGGAGGGGGGCTTAGGGGTTCAACCCCCCCCCCCAAATTTTTCAGGTTAAACAAAATAAACCTGGTTTACTCATGAATTTTAACTGGTTAACCAAATCCACATGCTAAGTCTATGAGATGCAAAAAAATTAAGAGTCCCCCCAGAACTGCAAGCACTATGTCAAGCAAATATTGACAATTTCTTCACACTGTCATTACTTGCAGCAATAGCCGATGTAGCGAAGCAACCAAGTTGTGGGGGGGGGGGGGTGTTGAATGCTCTCATTAAGGAGGCCAGACTTGGTGGAGGTGGTTGACAGGGGCGGAGCTGCAGGCTATTGAAGGCTGCTCTGTCCCTGCTGTGCTCAGTGTGAGCTAAGAGGCAGGTTTCAACCCCCCCCCCCTGAAATTTTTTTCTGGCTATGGCCCTGCTGCCTCACCTTGTACAATGCAGTCTGAGCCCTGCCTCATGCACAGTGGAGGACCTTCTGACAGTGACAGCAGAGGCACTTGAAGTGGCCAGCTTCTGGTCAAAGGAAATTTAGTATTGGGTAAGGGTGATTTGTTCTCTCTCATTCTGTAGATCTTTATTGTAATTGAGAAGACTGATTCACATCAACTGAAGTTTAATTTTGAGGGCTTTTTTTTTTTTTTAGAAATCCCACATTCTTTACATGAGGCCATTTTTGTTTGTTTTCTGTGCTTGTTCTCCTTGTATTATCAGAAAGAAAATAACTGGAAAATTATGAGTGTTTTTCATTGCTCAAACTAAAGGTTTTAGGGATGTCAGTCTACTCCTTTTTTTTACTTCCTCCTGTCTCCCACCCATAAAAGGACAAAAGAAGAAATTAAAACCTGTGGAGTATGTGCCGATCGCTTTGCCACTGAGCTGCTGTTACCCAAAGGTGAGGCTGAAACCATTGGGCTGTCTTAGGGTGCGGTGCTTTAAATCAACATTTATCAAGCTTTGGCTCTCAAGATGTTTTGGACTTTGAGTGCCATAGTTCTTGAGCACTGGCCAAACTGGTTGGGGCTTCTAGGAGTTGGAAGTCCAAGAACCTGGAGGACCAAGATTTGAGAACCCTTGCTTTAAATTATTTTTATCTGCTGACAATAACTTGGTTTTGCACTGTTGTTGTACTTAGTTTTCATATTCTGCAAAGTAATTATTTATGACAGATCATGTTTTGAACACTATTGAAATATTGAGATAAAATTATTCCCTGTAGTCACCTACGGATGTGAGAGCTGGACCTTAGGGAAGGCTGAGCGAAGGAAGATCGATGCTTTTGAACTGTGGTGTTGGAGGAAAGTGCTGAGAGTGCCTTGGACTGCGAGAAGATCCAACCAGTCCATCCTCCAGGAAATAAAGCCCGACTGCTCACTGGAGGGAAAGATACTAGAGACAAAGTTGAAGTACTTTGGCCACATCATGAGGAGACAGGAAAGCCTAGAGAAGACAATTATGCTGGGGAAAGTGGAAGGCAAAAGGAAGAGGGGCCGACCAAGGGCAAGATGGATGGATGGCATCCTTGAAGTGACTGGACTGACCTTGAGGGAGCTGGGGGTGGTAACGGCCGACAGGGAGCTCTGGCGTGGGCTGGTCCATGAGGTCACGAAGAGTCGGAGACGACTGAACGAATGAACAACAACAACATATATATATATATATATATCAGATCCCTTTGTATTACATTTTTTTAAATTTAGATAAAAGTGAGCTGAAAGTACATCAATATGTTCTATTAGATTTTTGGTGAGATTGTAAATGAGTTATTAGCAAGAATTTCAGAGTCCAAACCATTGAACAAACAGCAACAAAATTATCCACTGTGCTTAATTATATGGTTAAAATGAAGAAAGTTTTGGGAGGGAGAAAAAGAAAGCAGATTTTTGTGTAGAAAGATTTTGATCTCAATTATCTCATAACAAATTCCTGGACTCAGCATTATGTATACGTCTTTTGCACCAGGATCTAATTAGAAGATATTAGTTTTCTTTTCTTTTTAAGGGAGAACCCACAAACAAGCTTGGCATTTGTTTCAGTGGATTGAACAACCATGAGTTGGTGTAAGAGGATGTAAAAACAACTATGAATGTTTTTTTAAAAAGCAGATGTAAGAGAATGGTGGCTGGAATACACTTGTGATTACAAACAATACATTTTTTATTTATTACTTATTGATTTTGGTACTTGTATGGTGAAATGCTTTTGAGATTTTTTAGACAATCCCCCTTTTACAACACAATTTTAAAAGTATTTTAGTCCAGATCCTGGATTTTGAAAGTTGTTGTCCCAAAACTGTAACGTTTTTAAGCTTTGCTCTTGAGCCCTGTACATCACTAAGTGAATCCATAATTTTCTTTGCCCAGTATATAGGTATGCATAGTCTTGATTTAGTTGCTCACAAAAATAGTGACCATTTTTTGTGTGTGAAGGTATGCAATAACAGTTTCCCAGGTTTTCTCCTCAAGAGGAAAATCTATCGGTCTTTGTGAAATTTTCAGGAAATCGGTAGGGTATTTCAGGACATTTTTATAAACATCCCCGGGATAAAAATGTATTGGTGATTTGCATTGTGTGCGTGTGTGTGTACAATGAGGTCCAGAAGGGTATAAGCAAACATATGGCAGTCAAGAATGTTCTTTGTTTTGCTCCAGCACTTCAGGTTCCCTTGTTTGGATGAGAAAATGGGCAAGTTATCTTTACATGTTTAAAATGACACTTCAGGGGAAACTGAAGATGCTCTTCAGTTTCCCCAGATAAGTATATTAACTAGCCTGATAATAAAACATTTAATTGTTCTTTTAGTCCCAAGAGAGCAAAATCTCTCCCAGGTTCCTGCACACTACTATGTCACCAGCTACGGCAATGCTACCTTTGGATCCAGCACTGTTCATGTAGAGAGACAGGTATGTGTTAAAAGTTCAAACTGTTCCTTGCTCTGGGTCTGAGAATGTATAGTACAATCCTCTTATTCACAGTTCGGTTTCTCCAGTTTTACTTACCCATGATCCAAAAACAATCCCTCTGCACTGCAGTTGGGAGGCATACCTGCCCATTGGAGACACCCTCATCTTGACCCTAATGCAGAGAAAGTCCTACTGAAATCCCATAGTCCCATTTGGAGATTTGACTCAACTTCCTCTTAGTCAGATCTTGTCAACATCCATATTTTGAGCACTCAAATTAGGAGCAAGGAGAGTCCAACCCCTTGTGAATTTTTGTCTCCCCTTCCAAATGTGTTTCCAGTCATCCAGACTACCACAGGAACGAAGCGATTTTTAGGCTGAGACCCAAAACTAGAAGTGCTGTGATGTTGTGGGTGGTGGGAAGGGAGAATGTTCCCAACCCCCTTTGCAGTTGCCCACTTTTGGCCATAAGTAAACCTCTAGCCTAATTTAGAGCAAGGCAGATGGACTGAGGTTGCAACTGAAAACGGTTTTGGCTCTAATTGCCAAATGACCCCGAAACAAGTTGTCTTTCCTCTCAGATTCCACTCTGAACAGCACATACACCCATTATCTAAATTATGAGGAGCATGTATGAGAAATAACAGCAAGTATCCCAATATGTTGATTCCCTGAGCTACCCATGTTGCTTACTGACCAAGACTAGAGGCCTAGGACTGAGTTAAGCTTTATCAACTCATTTTTATTAATTGTAGACACAAGTAGGGTAATATAAATCCAAATAATGAAATGTCACTTACATTTTCACTCAATATAATGTATCTTATTTACTTAACCTTATCAATCCCAATTCCATATTTACCAACCTCTTGTGTCTAACAGGTTTTCTCTCCCCACTTCAGCCCTTCACCCCCCCCCACCCCCCCCCCCACCCAGTGGGAAGAGTTGTCATCATTTCAAGTATTATTTGAATTGATCAATCGTGAAGAGGATGCAATTTAATTCTTTATATATTTTTTCCTTTTACTCTAGCTATCAGAGTTCCGCATTTCGAGTCCCAATTCTTTTTACAGCTGCCAGTTGTGTATTTCAACCTCCTTTCTCAAATATGAGCTTTATCAACTCATAACACCAGGAGTTAGATATTGACTAAAGCAAGCTAGATCCAAAATTTCATAAAACACTAGCTAGTTAGCCTGGCTCAAAGCCAGAGCTGAAAGGTAAAATGCATGCATGCAGTTGCTTGGAGATAAGAGGATTTCTCAAAGTACCAACATTTTTGAGTTTGTGGTTTTATTTTCAGTTACTAGTAAAAGATATTGGCAGAAGCATTTTGAGTGTTATTTATTTCAAGTTTTAGATTATTCTTTTATCAAATCTAAGTACAGAAAGGTAGCATGTTTCTATTTTTTAAAAATAAGAAAGTACTGGGACTCATTTTAAAAAGGAACTTTTCAAGCTCAGTGCCAAATCTTTCTGGAAAATGTCATAAGGCTACATGCAACCTTCATTGCAAAGCCCTTTACAGTGAAAGAATAGTTACCTGCTTGAATGCCCTTCTTGTATTCATCCATTAAACCAGTGGTTCTCAACCTGTGGGTCCCCAGATGGTTTGGCCTTCAAAAATGCTAACAGCTGGTAAATTGGCTGGGATTTCTGGGAGTTGTAGGCCAAAACACCTGGGGAACCACAGGTTGAGAACCACTGCATTAAACTATCAGAAGACTGCAATAAACATTGCCAGATGACATTTTCTTACACAAACTCAGCCAGTAACTGATTTCTTATGGAGAAAATGCATATTTTTCAACATTCCCCAATCAATTTCTTTTTCCAGAATATCCTGGACCGATGACCATTGACCATGTAGGAGAAATCACTGGCCAAAATCTGGCTCTGTCTTTCACACCATGCTGAATACTTCAAATGTTTCATTATATCTTCATGGTTATTAAATTCTAATAAAATGCTTCTCACTCATTGTAGAATGTAATTTTATTTGCACAGATATGAGGAGAGTATTTTGAAACCCCAGCTTAGAAAGCTTTCTGCATTAGCAAAGGTTACAGAAGTATATGTAATTTGTCATTATGGAGAAGTTCTCTTTACAAGAAAAAATCTGCAAATAAAAGAAATCAGTATACCCAAAGAGACCCCATGAAGAAAAATCTTGAGCTAAAATGTAACATTTAGTATCAAGACATAGTTCAATCAAGTAATTACAAATTTTCCAGTCAAACAAAATTAACAGAAAACATTCTGAAGAACTGCAAGTACAAGATGCTTTGTCTTCTCTTTCCCTTCAAAATAAAAGCTGTACCCAGAATAGTATTGTAAAAAAATTCTAAACCCTTACCAAAAAAGCAATCAAGAGGACGTTCTCAAAAAAGCTGTAAAATTGCCCAATTGAATTCAGTAGGCTTCTCAGAGGAAGCTGCTATTTTATCACCATAGAAGTGGTGAAGATATCACATGCGAGTGAAATAAAAGCCCTATCAGTTCTCATTCTTAAAACACACCAATTTTGGCCCTAAATTTACAACACATCTGCTCAGTGCAGCCTGTAGTTTCTGTGAGGATATTGCCCATCCTATTTTTGCTATCCAAGAGCATTTGTTATACCATGTTTGTTAAATCTGAGAAGTAGCTGTGTATCCAAATTGAAGTGCAGTCTATTTTAAGTATGTCTGTATTGTGACTTTCTGGACTACCTTTGATGTTGGCAGGATGGAAGATTTCTTTTAAAAAAGAAACTAATTCTATAGTCTCTGGTATGCTTTCATGCATAGAGTGAATAACTTGTAAAGCTACCATTGATTTCAGCTGTTTTCAAATGAAACATCGTAATTTAAATTGCCTTACAAAAGGAATTTCTGTGCTCTATCAGGCCATAAAAACAGTGAGACAGGATTATGGACCTCTTTGCCTACCACAAGCAGTGACCTATGTACTACTGGTATTCCTGATTTGGGTTAACCCAATGGGAGCTACACTTTCTCTCCACTCAACTAATTTATTCTATGGGTCTAGTGTATTTAGTACCAACAAACAGAATTCCAGACTCTCTCTGTGTGTATGTAATATTACATATACAGTAAGACTCCAATATCAGCGGTTTCACTTCCCAATGCTGGGGGGGAGGGGGGAAATTGTCACTGCAAGAATTTACTAGATCCTCTACTTGGTTCTATGATACACTTCCCATAGGAGTTTTGCTGGGGGACCTAGGAAATTCCTAAGAGGGGATTAATGTTTTAGAAATCTCTAGGTCCTCTGACGCAGCTCTATGACTTGCTGGGACCAGACATTAGGTCAATTAATGCTGTTTAGTTATGTTCACAGTTCTACATAACCATGGTCTAGCTGGGAACATATACCCTAAGGATATGGGGGCCCTTCCCTCCCCTCTAATAGATAATATATAGAATTAGTGCTTCCTAACATTTGGTGATCCAGATATTTTGCACTTCAGCTCCCAGAACCTCTAATCATTCTCTGTGGCTACATTTTCTAGGAGGTGAAGTTCAACTCCTAGACAACAAACACATCACAATAACTGATAGACTGATTTGGAGAGAAGTCATAGAATATGAGACATAATGGCAAGGCCACACAGTGAGGCCCACTAGCCTACTTCTGGTTAAATGGGAATCAAAGTGAGTAACAAAACATTAAGTTATGCCCCAGTACCTTACTTGCTACGTGACTAATAACACCTATCTGGATAGGAAACTTGGTGAACATGTCTTAGCTGAATATGGCTTTTTTTTAGTTAGGGTGTCAAAATTGAGGGCTGGGCTTCTCTGCTTAATGCCTCAGCCCTAAAAATTTTCAAAACTGTTTTGTCTTGCTCAAATGCAACTTCACCATGCCCCCTCCCCAGTCTAAAATGATGCCCAGCAGTGCCACGGCAAAACTGTGGTGAAATTGCCCCAAAGTATGGGGGAGCATTTTGATTAAAAATATTGGGATAATGATGTATGTTTTGAGGGCCTCGAATATGACCTGGAGAGCACTTTCCTTAGGATGTTCTTGCTGTGGTTTGTCTTCAAAACCTTTCAAACGAATTAGGATCCTAAAAGAAACATATTGTCAGATTTTCATGGCAAAATCCATTTAGAGGAGGTTGGTGACTGCCTTCGTCTGAGGATGAGAGGATGTGATTTTGCCCATGGCTATTCAATGAGTTTACATGGCTAGGCTTTGAACTGTGGTCTCCCAGAACCTGAGTTCAATGCTCAAACCTCTATTTGATACATGGTAAATTTAGAGACAGCCTGTCCATTTTGTGCCGTATTAAAAAAGAACGTACTTATCAAACAAACATGCGACCAACAATTAAAGAACAGCTGAATGATGTTTGGGGTGTCGAACCTGGGAAAGTTATTGGGTTAAGTACAAGCTGATACAGCATTCTGCCCAAACACTTAAAAACAATTAAAAATTCTATAATCAAAAGACCACAACAAGCCAACTTCACAGGGACAACCTGATAGATCGGGAAGTAGACAAAGTCCCTATCCATGAATGTAATTAATTGGTCATCCATATGGATGCTCAAGGCAAGTTATAACTTTTCAATAACATTGCCTCAGGGATAATTTTATCCCTGCCATTCAAGGGAGAGGATGACTTATGTTTTGAATACGCGAAATGTGTCACATACTGGGAGTTTTTTTGTATGGGGACCTGATAGTAGAAATGGGAGGGACAGTAGAAATCAGAGATGGCCAACTGGTGTCCCACAGTACTCCCCAAATGTAAGGGCTAGATATATAGTCAATATATAGTCAAACAATATATGTGAAGCTTGTTTCAAAAAGGTACCAAATCCATCTGAACAAATTTTACAGGAATCGAAAAAAATGTACTGAGGATATGCATTCTTTTGCTATAAAAAACAGTTTTCCAGGCCCTTTACCAAAGTGATTTGATACAGTATCTCTCCTAAAAATAAGTAACTGGAAGGAAAAAGCATTTGGAAATCCTGGATGTTTTGGTGCCATCCATTTGACCCTATTCACCACTTGCGTACAACCCCACAAAATGGTCCTGAAGTTGAATTCAACATATCTCATGAAAATCTTTCATTCATGTATTAAAATATATGAGATGAATTTCCAAGATTTTTGTCATTTCTCATTACATTTGTGTGACACACCTACACTACTACTACTACACACTAATGTGTTGCAACATATAGTTTGGAAAGTTATGTGCTATAGGACTGCATTTCTCCACAAAAAAAAAAGTTTCTTGTCCTCAGATACCCTCTAGGGAACATGGAGTGCATTTTTACTCTGGCCCATTTTAGACCCACAAGAAGCCACTTTTAAGAAAGGGAATAGCGTTGCTTTACAATGCCTATTGCTTTACAATAATAAAAATGCTTCCTAGGCCACCTATGAAGCATTGGGGAGCAATTGCGAAGCAAAACAATTTTTGGAAAAAATATTGTCTGTGTTTGATCAACAGGATGCCCTTTGGCCCACAAAAAATGTCTGTAAGGTGACACATAGGGCTCACAGGCTACACTTTGATCATCAATACTGTAGATCATCCCACTGGTGTTTCTAACTATCTTTCTATAAAGCAAAATACCAGTACTTGTGCAAGCCCCCCCCCCCCCCCCCCCGAATTAGCTATGTGCAAAGAAGCAGAGTTCTCCATTTCACAGTCCACCCCACCTCAACCTCTGAAAATGACATAAAGAAGATAGGAGAACTAAGTGATAAGGACTGAGTCGAGGTGAGCCCAGGGAAGTCAGATCCTGGTTCCAACCCCAAATAGCTCATCTTACAATCACAGAGCTGAAAAACACCACAAAGATCACACGGCCTAATCCTGCAATGCGATCTTTGCATACGCCATACTCAGACAATGAGACTTTCGAAAAATAAGACAATAGAAGCAACTGCAGTGTTGCCATCTGTGAAGCTGACCACAAATCTGTCCCAGAAAAACCTGAAAAGGCAGAGTCGCTTGCACAAGGAGGGGGGATATGAACTCACTTTCAGACTAGAATATGCATAATACATATTCTAGAGATCTGGAAAAGCACAGAATTAGTAAGCCCAATTCTGCATTGTAATGGCTAAAAAACCATGTCCTATCCCCACCCCCCAATGTGGTGTTCTTTCACATATTCCGAACTCCCAGCATCCTTGACCATTGGCCATGGTGACTGATGGGAGTTGTTTATTACTATTAAAATATATTTATATCCCACCCTGTATCATGTGATTTCAAGGTGATGTACAAATAAAATCAATTTAAACAGTTTAAAACAAATACATTAATTTAAAACAAAACATATCAAACAATCTAACCAGCTAAACCAGTTTAGCAACAGTTGCTTAATATGCTTTTTATAGTGCTGTTTAGACTATTTCACTGCCTTGATGTGATTCAAGGCTTTAATGGCTTAGGCCTCAGTACTTAGAAGTGCCCTTCCCTGTATTCGACTGCCTAAGGACTGAGGTTTCTTCAGCTCCAAACCACATCACTGGCTGCCAATGGCAAGGAGAAATTTATAATGTGGTACCGCATAATAGGGCAAGTGTTGAGAAGTCTTCTGGGAAGACTTGGTGAAGCTATTTCTCACCTGCATCTCTGTAGTTTAACAACAGGAAGTTCCCACTAAGTTGTAGTCCTGTTCATGCATGATGTGGAGTCTGACATAATTCCAGATCTAAAAACAAGAGCTTTTACAATTATATTTTCTTGTGTTGGAGAAATGTCTGCCCAGAAATAGAGCATTCAATGTTCCTCGTCGGCTGGCCTACAGAAACCAGCTAGATATTCCATCATATCAAAGAGGCTGTTGGAGAACTGCAAGCTCTCAATTTCGCTGTTCAAGGATGAGAAGCCTTCCCTCAGAACATGTTCGTGGCAATGTTTACAAAACTCCGGTACCAACTGCAAAAGATTCAAAAGCTGATTAAGCATATGTACCTGCACAGAAATGTATTCCCTCATATGCAGTTTTCCTGAGCCTACCATTCATCAACCAAGCTAAGATGAGTGGAGAGTGAACTGATTGAATGATAGAGTTGGAAGAGACCACAAGGGCTATCCAGTCCAACCCCACTCAGTCAGCATATCTGACCAATGGCCATCCAGCCCCTATTTAAAAACCTCCAGAGAAGGAGAATCCACCATGTATCAGGATAGCATATTCCACTGCTGAACAGCTTTTACCATCAGGAAGTTCTTCCTAATGTTTAGGTGGAATCTCTCTTCTTTCAGCTTGAATCCACTGCCCTATGTTCTGGTCTCCAGAGCAAAAGAAAACAGTTTGCCCCCTCCCATGACATTCTTTCAAATACTTAAATATGGCTACCATACTCCTTCTCAGCCTTCTTTTCTCCAAGCTAAATATATCCTGCTCCCTTAGCTGTTCCTCATAGGGTTTGGTTTCCAAACCTCTGATCATTTTGGCACCCTTCTTTGGACATGTTCTAGCTTGTGAACATTCTTCTTGAATTGTGGTGCCCAGAACTGGGCACAGTTCTCCAGGTGAGGTCTGACCAAAGCAGAATATGGTAGAATACTTTAGGACTCTAAAAAGAAACCCTAAGTGGATGGTGTAGGGCATGTCCAGGGCCAGAGAGCCACAGACATAACTTCAGGCCATGTTTGCACGAGATGAACTTGGCCCACATTAAATCCCAACAACTTTCAAATAGATATAAAGGACAAAATCAAAACTATTTCTCCTTCCAGCAAAAGGCAAGACAGAAAACTCTGAAGTAATGTATTCCACATCCTGCTACTCCATACCAAGTACAAATCAGCCAAATAACAACTGTTATTGCCTCTTGTGTATCACATAAAGTTCACTTGTAACCCTTTTTGCTCTTTTAAGGAAAAAATGCCTCCTGATCAGATTTTTCTACCCAAAATTTCAAGCCGGGCAAGACAAAATTTCTGATTTCTGATGGATAGAAAAAGGAAACATTTGCTTCCTCCTCTGGACAGTGAGGGCAAAAGGGAGGGGGGAGTACTTTGTGATTGTGAAGCACCGGCCAAACATGACCGTATTACTCAAGAGGAAGTACACAACGTCTGCCTTTGGTCTTAAAGTTCAGGAAGCACTACCATTCTCACATCAAAGCATTCTGTGTTACCTCCTTACTTACCTTCACCAAAATTAGTTTAGATTCCTTAGGTTTGGCTGCAGAAAAACGCTGCCCAAAGCACAAGTAGATGGTATAATCAGGAGATGAACTTCTTTGACCCTCACAAAACTGCCGAAGTCCTAAAATAAAAAGTCAAAACTAATTTTGTGAGGCTGTGTATGGAAATTAATAAAAACAACAAAAAATCTTTCACAACATAATCACTAGGGAAAAATGTAAAACTGAACAGCTAGGCAAAATCCACTCCAACATCTATCAACTGGGTGCCTACAAAGCAGAAGTTAGCAACTCATGGCTGGTAAGCCACACAAACCCTTGTTTTTTAGCAGATTCTGTGACCTTCCTCTCTGCTACCCTGAAAAACTGTATTTCCTGAAGTATCTAAAACATCCTTTATGAGACTGCCCAATATGTAAGATGATTTGGGTGGAAGTACCACCACTATCCCACTAACCCCATAAGGCTAGGATGGTGGGTACATATCACAGATCTTTCTCTGTAGTGGGACTTGCCCATGAGACTCCCTTCTATGGTCCTTGGTTCATAAAACTGGGAGTGTCTAAACTAGCTGTTTTAAAACTTGTTTTTAGATTTTTTAAAAAAAACTTTTAAAACAATTATTTTTAAAAAGAAACCTAAACTGTTTATTATTGGTTTTTAGTATCTGTGTGCATTCCTCAGTCAACAAAGCCCCTGAAAATGAATCTCCTTTCCATGAAGTCTTTTTAAACCTGCCCATCCTTGCTTTCCCTCTTTGTCCACTGTCTAGCTGGACATTTTCTTTCTTTTACAAGCATTGGCATTTGGAGAACACTGAATGGGGCATGAAGAAACATAGACTGTTGCAGCTGCATGCCTGCAGTAAACAACACGAGGTGGGAAAAGAGTGCCTGTCTACTCTTGTCAACCCTACTGCAGCTGTGTGTGCCTGTCTAGAAAAGGCAAGTAAATAGCAGCTGACCTCAGAATCCCTTTCCTGAGCAGTGTAAACAGAAAAACAGAGAGAAAAGTGGAGAGCAAATGAGCCTCCATCACCAGCTATCCCCAACAAAAGTTCAGTTCTGCAAATATGTCCAACAAAATGGAAATCTTAAGAAAAGTGGAGGCTGGTGAAAAGAAAATTCAACCTTTCTTTTTGTGGTGTAAGAACTCACCCCTACCTTTTTCAATGTTAACTTTGCCTCCGATACCAAATTGTCTATGACAGAAGTAATGCTCAGAAACACTTCGAATTCATTAACTGAGGTGTACCTGCATTTAATGCTTTACCTATTGGGCATTTGGGCCCTGGTGGGTTGGCTTCAGGTCCTGGTGGGTTGAGAAACGATAAATAAATGCCATAAATAAATATAGATTTTTCCTAAAATGAATTTTCCTCTTCCTTATTTTTACCCAAAAGCCATTACATTTGCTGGAGGAAACTGAAATAACATGGCTAGACATTTCCTTTCTTATTTATTTACATGGTTTTTTTAGACACCAGGGGGCAAATATGGGAGGTTGAAATTGTCTTTTGAACATACTGAAGCTGAGTACCCATATCACAGAGGAAGCCTCATTTTCCTGAACAATTACCTTCGATATATGATTCAAAGTTGAAGATCTCTGTGTCTACCTCCCGTTGCAACAGTCTGTGTTCTGGGTGCTGAGCTATGTTCTCCAGCTGCTTGGACAAGGCCCAAAAGACATTGCATGGACCAAGGCGCTTGGCCCAGAGCTTGCCATTCTTCTGATAAAGCAGCAAACCCGCCTTCTGAAGTGCAGACAAAGTGTACCTAACTTGCTTATGATCTGGAAGCATCTTTGGATTTGGAAATTGTATTATCTGTGGGTTGCCTAGTACTTGGGCAGTGTGGTTGTTTTTATAGGTAAACAAACAGCTACACGCTACAACTCTTAATTCATCGAACAAACTCCCCCTGTAAAAGATGGAGACACCCAGGTTCAAAGGAAGTGTTCCTGTAAGAGAAAAAAATGGACGTATTATTTATTTATTTACTTACTTACTATATTTCTACACCGCCATTCTCAGCCTGAGGGCGACTCATGGCAATTTCCAGAACGGCACAATTTGATGCCCACAACAATATAAAAACACTTAAAACATTTAAGATAGTTAAAATTCACTAAATAGTAAAACCAATAAAACATAGATCCTTTGCATCTCATTACCAAAATAATTGTCCAATCGCGTTGTCCAGTTGTTCCGAGATCAGGGTTTATCTGCTACACTGCATTTGAGAAAGCCTGCTCAAACAGCCAGGTTTTGATTTTTTTGCGAAATGATAAGAGGGTGGGGGCCAATCTAATATCCCTGCGGAGGGTGTTCCACAGCCGAGGGGCCACTGCTGAGAAGGCCCTGTCTCTCATCCCTGCCAACCAAACCTGTGAAGGTGGGACCAAGAGCATGGCCTCTCCAGAAGATTGTAAATTCCTAGATGGTTCATAAGGGAGATACGTTCAGACAGATAAGCAGGGCCAGAACTGTTATGGGGTTTATAGGCTACATCCAGCACTTTGAATTGTGCTCGGTAGCAGACTGGCAGCCAGTGGAGCTGGTTCAACAGAGGAGTTGTATGCTCCTTGAGGGTCGCTCCTGTTAGCAACCTGGCTGCTGCCCATTGGACCATTTGAAGCTTCCAAACAATCTTCAAAGGCAACTCCACATAGAGTGTATTGCAGTAGTCTATATGGGATGTAACCAGAACATGGACTACAGTGGCCAAGCCAGACCTCCCAAGGTACGGACGCAGTTTTAATTTTAATATAGCAGAAGGTCCAGGTTTCTAAAGGGCTTGTACAAGCTTTACTTGCTAATGAGGCACTAAAAGCTTGCACAAAGAACTGCTGTTTCAAAGTCCATCCCCTGAACTATCATATCTGAAATAGCATGTAATATTCTCATTGGCAAAATGAAATAAATTCAACTAATGACAACGCTGACACGTATGAAACGTTTTGGAATACACACATTGGAGGAAGCACAAGACATGGATACACAACTTTTAGATACTTGTGATGATAAATAAATAATAATGTCATCAACATGGAGAAGAGCTCTTCCTCTGGCTCCTGAGGTTTTTTCAACTGCAACTCTCATCATTCCAGAACAGTATAACCATCAGGGAAGGGGTTACAAGAATTTCAGTTTCAGCATGGGAATTGAAGTACCTGCAGCCACATCTGCCTATTCCTGCCCTAGGTATTTCTGACTTCTAAACCAGAAAGTCAGCATCCATTACTGGGGCCGAACCAGCGCAAAATGATCAAAAATTTAAAATACATATTGTGTTTACCTGGATGCAAAAGGTATGTAGGTTTTTTTAAAAAAAAATAATCACACAAATTGGATAAAGGCTTTGGTACTCGTGGCACCACATAAACTCCTGGATTCCAGTTCTCATTATCCCTGTCCATGCTGGTTGGACATGATGCGAAATGGAGGCCAGCAACTTCTGACAGACAACAGATTCCCCAGACTAATTTAGATATTTCTTTTTAGGAACTGGGGCAAAGAAGATACCAGAATATACCGTTGTTTAGGACAGAATCCAATGGCTTTCACTATACTCTTCATGTTCTGCAGTTAGTAGCCAAGGTGATTATTTGTTATGGTTGCAACCATGAAGCCTCCCAGTTGTTAGGCAATGTAAAATGTTGCCAAAACTATTCAGTTGAAGTCCACAACTTAAAAGAGAGACCTCTTGAGAGGGTCACCGTATCCCCTGAACTCTAAAGGAAAGAGTTCCTGGTCCCAAATTGAAAAGGAACCTGGACAATCCAGAAAAAGGCTATTCTATTCTATTCTATTCTATTCTATTCTATTCTATTCTATTCTATTCTATTCTATTCTATTCTATTCTATTCTAAACTGCAGCACAGGACTTCACTATCATACTCTATAATGTAATTATTGTATAGATAGCCCTCAGCATTCACTGGGGTTAGAGGTGCAGGAACACCACTAAAGTAGAAAATAGCTTCTTGTTTTGCCACATTTATGCCAACATAAATTTCTTGTGCTTTTGGTAATATGGGCTAATTGATATATTATTTTCTCAGTATTTTCCATTGTATTTCCTTAATTCTCAGATGCTTACATTTTTAATTGAGTTAATCCACAAATCAATGTCCTTCTAATTACTATTTATTTCATATATGCATATGTAGTGGTAATGTGACAAGGTACAAAAATGTTTATAGGAAAACAAAGGGTAAAATGGAAGAAATATTTGGGTTGAAAATACAGCTGAATAAAACACTGTTTTTCACCATGAAAATGGAAGGAAGGGTTGTAATTATATGGGGCAAATATTATAAAATATACATAAAAGAAGCAACGATTGTGCTGGGATGAAAAGAATACAAAAAAATGACAAATTAAAAAATGGTATGCATATTTAGTTGACTATATGCTCCAAGATTATATCACTGAAAGAAAAAAATTAATATATAATTTGATATCCTGTGGGGAACTGGGTCTCAAATTGGAAAGAACTGATAGCCAAAGTGAAGGTAAAAAGAAAATACAAGGAACTAAATCGGACCATCTCCATTATACAACAAATAGAATAAAAGCCAAAACTGAATCACAGCTGTTCCCGGAGGGAGGGGGGAGAGAGGGAGGGGGAGTATAAGGAGAAAGGTAGAAGTAGGAGATTAAGATGGAATTAGAAAGGAACAGGAATTGACCTATACCCGAAGAGTATGTAATCTCTTTCACCTGTATTGGTTGATTTTGTTTCTTTAATACTTTTGTAATATAATTGTGACAATTATACTCTACTTATACAACCCAATAAAAAGGAGAAGAAAAAACAAAAATAGAAAAAATACAGATACTATTTTTTTTACCTAGGAAAACATCTCTCTAGGAATTTCTAGGTCCTTCAGTATAACTCTAGTCAATGTCTGCTGGAAGCTGACCATAGAGTTGTGCTGGAGGATCCAGAGATTCCTAAAGAGATCATGGCAATCAAACTGTGAACAATCAAATCCACAAATTGTAAACTCACAAATGTGGAGCTGGCTTATTGAGCACCATGGATGTGTTCACAAAGATAGTCTCTACACAAGGCACAAGTCTTGTCAGTATTTCTCCAATTCCCAGGATAACTGGTCTTCCACATTGCAAGCACTTACTGTGTAACACGTCAGCTAGGGCTTGACGTCAGATAAACATCAAGCCCTAGCTGCTAGACACTCCCACCTGAACCCTCTTTAGTTTAGAATGTAGTTTATATGGCCATAATTGTAACTGCCCTTCCTCCTTAGGAAGATGCAGGCAGGGTGCATTTACTGACCTGAGTCATTCTGCAACGGAGCAGTCTGGGCAGGAGTCTGTTCAACTGGGGATGCAATGGGTAATGGACATGGGTTCTGCTCCAGGATGGGGTGCTGGCTTGCTGCATTGCACATCATCACTCCATTTCCAAGAGGTTCTTCAGCCATGAACATATTATCAATGAAGCAGCTCTCATTACCAAGGGCATCAACTATTATAGAAGATAAATACCTTGAATGTACTCATGCTTCAGGCAGCAGCTCTCATTGAAGCTTTGTTTTGGGGTGAGCAACTGTTAAAGACCAGTGCCTACAGTCCCAAAAGTAATATTTGTTCCCAAATACCTTCTATGAGCATGAGGGCATTTCTGTGACAGTTCTCCTGGTCCTCAAATGGCTAGACAGGCCCAAAATGTGGTAAAAAACAAACAAACTATACAAGGGTCATTTGAGAGCAAAAGGCATTTTTTTTAAAAAAAATTAAAGTATACATATTATTTCACCTGTTGGGGTATCGCAGGGTCACAAAAATAGCCCTGGGGATTTTTATTCAAAGATCCAAAAACAGACAAAGCATGTTTACATGCATTAAGGTTTTGAGTTTTTTTTAAAAAAATACTACTTAAACAAACATAAAATGAACAAGGGCACACATCTATGCAATAAGAACAAAACAAACACAGAGAAAAACTGATCTACAAACCTCTCATTCACTGCATGCCGATATTTACCTCTATTTACACTATTCCCTTTAAATGCTGGTATACATATAATCAACCTTCTACCTTTAATAAAATTCTACTAATTCCTAAAACCCATAATAACCAAATACCTTCTCATTGTTATAACTAGTAAATTAGTAAGTCCCAATCTTGCTTGCAGTTTAACAGATATTTCCCTTCATCAACGTAGTTAATTTGTCCATCTCAACAGACTCATTACTCTTCACCAGCCATTGTCATCACAAAGGTCTTCCATCCTCTAGGAATGCATTACTCTTGCTTTTCTCTTCCCTTTTTAAAAACAATCTTATTTATCAATACAATCAATTGATAAAGAATGATGTCTTTGTCGAAGGCTTTCATGGCCAGAATCACTGGGTTGTTGTAGGTTTTTTTCGGGCTGTATGGCCATGGTCTAGAGGCATTCTCTCTAGAGTGCAGGCGAAATGTCAGGAGAGAATGCCTCTAGACCATGGCCATACAGCCCGAAAAAACCTACAACAACCCGACGAGATCTTTAATCTGTTGTCTTATATATTTCACCACCACATGTCTATGAAGCTTTTCCTGACTGATCTCATAAGAATCCTGCCAATAAGTCTCATTTACCACACAGCTGAAATCTTTGTATGGAACTTCTGTAAAATCAGCAAGGACTTCAGACAACTTGAAACAGGTCCTTTCATTAGTTGTTTTGGCAAATCTTGCCCATTGATGTTTTCCCCCTGCTCTTTGACCTCTGGGAGAGACATTACTTCCAAGATTTCCATCTTGTTGTGCTCTGATTTTTCTAAAATGTCCATCTGTTTTTGAGTCCCAATTTTACTCATTCTAGTTTCTCTGCATTAGCTCTCCAGTCACTATATCCAACAAGATATAAATCTCTTTAAATTTCACTGACAGCTTTGCCTCATCAGTCTCAGTATATGAAGATTTTGGGTAAGATCCAGTGGTTTTTGCTTAAGCTCACAATGGCTTTATAATATAAATTTCTTCTGAGTCCTTAAGTGATTCCAATATTCACTTATTAATTATCTATTGATGTTGAACACACAATGGCACTCCAGTACACTTCTTTCCTCAATAGGTTGCTATGACCAACAAAGGGGGAAAATTTGTCTCCAAAGGTTCAGATATTTACTTTCTGTGTACTTTTTAGCCCGAGGACTTTCTTTGTGTTGGCTCTTACACAACTCTTAAGATTTATTAGCTAATCACTGAGTTTCCTTGGCAACATTTTTTCAGAAGGAGGATTTTCCTTCACCTCCTTCTGAGGTTGAGTGTGACTTGCCTAGAGTTTCCATAGCTAAGCATGGATTTGAACCCTAGTCTCCAGTCTTAATCCACTAAGCCAGTGGTTCCCAACCTGTGGTCCATGGACCACCAGTGGTCAGCAAGAACTAAAATATGGTCTGCGGCCTCACCATTACTACACCATTGCAAGGAGAGTGACTGGTCTCGCGAAACCCACTTATAGTGCAGGGACTTATTAAATATGGTTTTATGTGGGTGAGCAGATGGCAACTACTGGACTGTATCAGAAACTAGAGCTGATGTGGTCTATCCAATGCAATTTTCTGAATCAGCATGCCAAATAACCAAACCAAATCTAAAAAAACTGTTTTGTAACCCTTTTGGTACCATTGTTAGAAAGTGGACCCCAGTCAAAGTGGCCCCTGGTCAAAAAAAGGTTAGGAACCACTGCACTAAACATGCTGGCTCTACCATTCTCAGACTACATCTCCCAGAATCATCCCATATCAACTACTGACCGTACCATCTAGATGATTTTAGACAACGTTGTTAAAAACAGCACCTTGCTGGTTTTTGTTATAGACACTTTGTTCACATTGGCTCAACTTTAAACCTGACTAAGTATGCATGCAATTAATACTTGGTATTTTACTGGTTTTAAATAAAACCATAATTTAAAAACAGTTTATTCTAAGCACACAAGAGAATTCATTTGCGACCAATCTCTCTCTTTGGTGCTAATCTCTTGAGGATTTTAGATACTGGAATGAAACATCACATGCTCCTTTTTGGTCTTATTTCCCATTGAGGGCAAATTCATAAACTCACACTTCAGAATTCCACACTCACCCAAATGATTAAGCTGATTTGGGGCAGGGGAGTTTTGTTGAGCCTGCTGCACTGCAAGCATTGCAGCTGAATGACACGTCACATCTGTTGTGATTTCAGGCAGCCATCTGGATGGCTCTTCATAATACCCATTTTCGACTGTCCCATTCACTGCTGTATTCCTTAGGAGGTGATAGCCATTTTGATCAACATGAGGGACAGCATAGGTATTGTTTTGTTGATAAGCAACTTCACCAGGAGAATTGGGGAGAAAGAAAAAGAAAATGTGGAGACAAAATGATAATATTGTAAGATCTAAAGATCATGCCTGTTGATCTAATTGCTTTTGACACATTTACCCCACATTCTCTTTATATTCTGTCCATGTAGATGTCTGTGCATGAAGATTTTACATGCATGACTGCTGTTTATGAAGTAGTCAGCCTTACAACCCAAAATTGAAGGAAAGGCTTAAGTAGCATTTGAAATGATTGCTAAGATGCATAAAATAATTTTAGTGATTGTTAGAAATGTGAGGGAAAGGTAGGTACGTTTTACCATATGTGGTGTAAAAATGCCCAGAAATACTGGACACAAATACATACATTTTAGAAGAAATTGTTCAATTTAAATTTGAAATGAAACCTGAACTCTATCTGCTTGGGATGTCAGATGAACAACTCGACTGAAAATGTGGAAGGTTATTGCTATACATTATAATGACAGCAAGAATTACTTACGCTCAAATATAGAAAGACTCGATGATTCCATCCAAGATGATTGGCTTATGAAAAAAAGCAAACTTGCAGAAATAGATAAACTTACTACATGGATTAAGGAGAAATCTCTAACTGTTGGAAACCTTTTACAAGCCTCCTATACTAGTTATTAATTTATATATAATTCAGATTTCTTACTGTATTGTATATGTGTGTATTGGTATGCAGTTTTCCCTTTCTGTTTCTTTGTTGTGGGAGAGATCTGGGGCTGTTCAGACCTTAGATTCCATTTTAGAAGTCAATGTGTGTTTTCATCAAAAGCAGTACAGGATAGTTTAGAAGTCAGTAGAAATAGAATGCTATAGAAAGACAGAGACTCTATTAGACTCTCAGATCAGAGATCCTTTAGACTCTGGACTGTTGATTACAATAAAGAAGCCCTGTGTTATCTGCACAGATAAACTTCTCCAAATCCTATCTGTAGCTGGATTGATAAGCAAAGTACCTGTATGCTAAAGTTTGTGAGTAAACCAGATATATTGATTTTAAAGAAGACTACCTATTTTTATCTCTTGACAACCTGATTTAAACCAAGATGTTTTAAGAGAGAGTAGATGTTTTGGGCAACTAAAATAAACACTTTTAAAACTCTGCTATATATATGTTTTTGGTGCATTGGCATATCTTTGTCCCTAACAGTTCAAAGAGACATATAGGTATATCAGTTTAACAGCTGAGAAGCCTAATTGCCTTGCATGAATACTAGTGGATTTATTTATCGTGTCAGAAGCAAATTGAGAATATAGTTACAATGTATTTTTAAAAACTGCAAACAAAGTTAAAAACTTGACATTATGCTAAATTTCCTTTGACCAGAAGCTGGCCACTTCAAATGCCTCTAGTACTGCTGTAAGAAGGTCCTCCATTGTGCATGTGGAAGGGCTCAGCAAATTGCAGTATACTAGTGGATATTTACCACTGAAGAGAAAGTTGACTCAACCAAATTTTTAACTCTTCTCGGGAGCGTCATAGATACCTTCCCAAAAAGGTTCTGAATATCAATTTTCCAGAACTAAGAAAGACAGGGGCCCATTTATTGTGTTCCTAAAGCCAAGGTAGGGCTAAATCTTCACCACTGGTCTTTTGGACTAGAAGTGTGTTATTATGTGGGGAAAGGATGTACTAATGGTTCCTAAATGGGTGTAGAAAACTGAGAGAATGTAACCACCAGAGAGAGAATGTGAGGACATTAGATTAGATGTAAATCATTTGTAGTTTGCAGTTATTGGGGTTCTTTTTATGTTTAGGATATAGTTGTATTCTAGAAAAAGTATTTTAATTGTTTGTTGTTGATGTTCCTGGGTTTTTTGTTTTTTTATTTTTTGTATGTAGGTTTTGTTTTAATCTGTCTAAATAACAAAATTAAAAAGCATTTGTAAATTGTGAATCTCAGCTTACCTATTGGAGGATCACTAGAAGGAGCCCATGAGACTGTCTGAATTTCATCCAGATTCATGTTGGCTTGCTGCATAACCCACTGGAGCGTATCACTGCTACATTGGTAAACGTTTTCATCTGTATTCACATTTTGTCCTGCAGCATACACACATACACACGGACATCAGGACCATAGGTTAGCATGGCTTTTTTGCATGTATTGGATACCTCACATAACAGTGCTCTTTCAGGAAGTGCCTGGAAGGAACTCTAGTCCATCCCAGGAAGGGGCCCTGTGGTCTTTGAGAGTTTGAATGCCAGCTCAAGTTTAGAATCTAAGTTCCTGGGTCACAAACAATGCAAGACAAGGTGGTTCATATTTCAAAGTACTAAATTGGGATTTGAAATTTGTAACCTGGACCTACCCGTATTATAGGCATCTGCCTCTAATGACATTTATGACCATAAACTAAAAAGTGAGTCAGCTTACCTGTGACTGGATTTTCCAGTGATAGCATTTCAAAGGCACTGTTTATCTCCTGCTGTAAAACAGATAAATAAGCAGGCTTGTCACACATAAGGGAAGCCATGCAAACATTTACATTATACTCTTTTCCAGCAATCTTAGATCACACCTTTTGTAGCATGTTCCAGGGCATAGCATCATACAACAATCAGCTATCTTTCAACTTTGTGAAGCAGAAGCGAGAGAGGCTTTCATTAAGACTACAGACTTAGAATGTCTTCGATATGAATGCCTAAAATCTTTTGACTACTTTCACATATTTCATCTAATGGATTTTTAAAACACAAGGCTTACAATAAGTTCTGCTAACTTTCAACTGTGGAGTACACAAAAAAACCCTTCATCGGCCAGAGTGTTCTTTTGCAATGGACACCTGTCTCTTCTATGCAGTCTCTTCCAGGAACAGAAAGAAAATAAAAACCAATCAAACGTGTTCAGTGTCAACATACAATCTATCACCATGAAAACAATACTGAGGACTGTGATTCTGTATTCTAAGGCAACTCCAATTTTATATTCACATTCAATTCCAATGCTCCAAAAGAGTTGCTTTTGGCCTCATGTGTGATAATTTCTAGTTGGAGAGGTACTGTCAAATAGGTGTTGTTCTAGTGGGGTGGAAATTATGCCACCAGGAGGCCACATGAGGCACTTGAAGTGTCCCTTGTAACCCCTGGCAGAGGACACTAGATCATCTCAGCATAGTTGGATTGATAGGGCGTGTAGTGTAACAATTCTGGAAGATTCACATTGGAAAGAGTTGATCTAATTAGCTGGTTCTTCTACTCCATGGCACATTAGTTCTTTAAGAATGTATTCAAGGTATTGCTTCACAACTCCAGCCTTGCCTCTCCCCAGCAGGCAAATGAGTTGTTTTAAGACCTTAGCGATAAATTCTGCATGGATGTAGCTTTTGAATGTTTTTAGCCAATTTATTACAAATAATTCCTCAGAACTAGGGATACCAGCTTCAATTTCACAACAGAGGAAATTGCCTTTCTCAGACACTGCTGATTCTCATTGCCAGCAATCTTTTTTCGTGTCCATAGCGACTTGAGAAGCTGCAAGTTGTGTCTGGTGTGAGAGAATTGGCCATCTGCAAGAACATTGCCCAGGGGACGCCCAAATGTTTTGCCATCCTTGTGGGAGGCATCTCTCATGTCCCCACATGAGGAGCAAAGCTGACAGAGGGAGCTCATCCGCGCTCTCCCCAGATTCTAACCTTTGACCTGTCAGTCTTCAGTACTGTCAGCACAATGGTTTTTCCCATTGTGCCACCGGGGACTCCTATTGCCAGCAATGGCTTTTGAGCATTCCCATAGCTCCACCTGGAGATTCCTGATGGTGTTTATTCAAGTTCTAACCATGCCTGACCCTGTTTAGCTTCTGAAGCCAGATGGTGTTCCAAGAGGTATGATGGTTATATGTCTACTAAGAAGTAAATCCTGCTGAATTCCACAGGACTTACTATATATTGGACCCGCAACCTCAATGTAACCAAAATAAAACTGAAGTCCATTTAAAGTTTCACATATAAATGGCTTGCAGAATGCATTCCTAAGGAAGCAAATTATCCCAATAAATCAGACAGATAGCCCTTTTTTACCTCAATCTTGCATTTGACTTGCTTCCCTCTGAATAAAGAAAGACAGGTCCTTAATATTCAATCACTGCCATGCTGTCATTAATAGGAATCTGCATTAGAGCTGAATCAGACCACTGGCATATCTAAGCCAATGGTGTCAGCTCTGACTGGCAGTACCTCCCCTAATTTTGTTTCAGGTAGGGTTCTTCTCCAGCTCTACAAGGAGATCTCTAGCAGCCTCCCAACCTTGCATGACTTCCAAAATCAGGTAGGTTTAGGTATGTTCTGGATGGTATGGTAGTAGCTTTGAATGACACTCAGGATAACACACTGTTTTACAACATCAAAACATTAGAAGATGCTCAATTCCTCCACTGCTCTCAGACCCCTCAATCCCGTTGCGATCTACAGCTTTGTACCTGAAGTGGAGATGTCGTCTGGTTGGAACCTTGTACTCCTTCACTGGAAGGGCTGATATGTAACATATCATTCTCATGATCACCATCATTCCCTTTAAAAAAAACAAGGGAGAAATGGAAGGCATGAAAGAAGATACAAATAGTATCTCTAGAGTGCAAATCTAATGAGGGATAGTAAAAAGTTTAATGTCCTTCGTTTATAAGGATACATGCGTTTAGGAACACCTCCCCCATGCCATGCATAGATCCTATTTATGCTAAGAGCCACAGTCTAATCTGGATGAAATAATTTGTTTATAGAGAATCAGCTCACAATTTAATGAGTCAAGACTGCAATGAGCTTGTTGCCAATATACAGAATCTCTTTTCCCCATTCCCTTCATATTTGATCAGTTAAACACAGATGACTCTAATCAAATATCTCATTTTGCTTGAATCAGAAAATTGTGGTCAAGAGTCTACATCTGAGTCACAGAGTTCAAATCTTGCATGCAAAGTGATACGCTGGCTCTTCTAAATGACTTTTCCACTGAATTATAATGTTGCACAACTGAATACGCAATCCAAATAGTGCTATAGTCCCCTCCACATTTGTTGGGATAAGGGGCACAAGACGCCAGTAAAAGTAGAAGACTGCAAATAATAAAATTGCTATGTTTTTATCTGAGAACAATTCTCTAGGAATATCTAGCTTCTCCAGCATGGCTTTATGGTCAATTTCTGCTGGATTATAGTGGTGGACCTCCAGATTTCTAGAGAGGTGGTCTCTTTAGAAATCTCTAGTTAGTTCAATATGACTCCATGGGAAATTATTTGATAGAATGTGACCACAGCGTCACACTGGAGACATAGAGGAACCACATTAATCAAATCTGCGAAAGTCTGAAGGGCTGACACCTTATCTGAGAATGCATATCTACATGACAAAAGTTACAGCATAATTGTTCTGATCACTGACATCACGCATTATACCACTGTTTTTAAAGTGTGGGTCCCAACTCCAAATGGGATCCTGAAAAATCGGGCAACAGTAAATGTTTTCTGAATGCCACAAAATATTTTGTTTAAACAATACGTATTTCCATTGGGATTAGCATTTGATACAACTGATTAAACAAACATGGTATTTTTTCAATACGTGGTAACGTCTGCCTGAATACGATTTTTTTTCAAAAAAGGAAAATCACCCTGTTTAGCAAGCCTTGCAAATACTGATTTGTTACAGTATCAGTAATGATTTGATTTTACACCCATTTTATATACTCATATACATAAAAAATTTTCGGGCCAAAAGCAGTTCCTAGTGGAAAAGTTTAAGAAGACCTGTATTACACAAATATGGCCAAATCTTTCTGTAGAGGAATTTATTACTCTGTTCTAGCCTATACTTCAGGAAATGCATGTTTCAAAATAAAATATGCTTCAAAAATAGTGTATATCCGAGCTTGTTCTGAAATTGATAATTGTGGTTTCTTAGGTCAGATTTATTATTTTTAATTTTTGTCAAAAGTATTGCATACATAAGTATAAAACTGATTTTTTTAAAAGGAGCACAAGACGTTAAATATCTTTTGACCAAAAACAGGTAACAGCAACTGCACTGTCTGGAGCTTCAAACAATTCTTCCTCTGTGTGTCAGGCAGGGCACTGTAGACAAGCATATATGTGCAGCGTTGTTTGTTCTGCTCCAGTCACACAAGGTGGAGGATTCTTTTAGATAGTGCCATTTTGCCAGGTTGTCTTTTGATCTGCCCACCTCACTTCTCAATCTGTTCAGGGACTTCCAAGTTGCCCATTCTTGGTTTGCCCCTGGAGGAAGACCCTCATGGGGGGTCATCCAATTGGGATTTAGCTGCCCTGCGGGATGTTCTTGCTATTGCTGGGGGAACATTAAAAGGAGTGGTGGCTCTCATGAAGCTTTCCCTTGATTAGAGTTTACTGGGAGGAGGCTGATAGCCATGCAGTGGATGGCCTTCACAGTGTCCAACCTTATTTCTTTCACAGTTAGCAGCAACTTCCTGTCGCACGTGGGGGGGGGGGGGCGATGCCAGCTAGCTTGTAGAGTCTATCAACAGGTATAGGTTTGAGACATTCTGTGATTATTCTGTATGTTTCCTTCAGTGCTATGTTCACCTGATTCGTGTGAACAGACTTATTGCAAACAGAGCAGGCATACTCAGCAGTAAAGTAAGTGAAGTAATTTTGGGTCTGCTCCCCATGCGCTGCCAGTAAGTTTCCGCAGGATGTTATTGTGTGCAGATACTTTGTGCTTGGTGTTCATGCAGTGTTTCCTAAGTGTTAGTGTTTGATCTAAGGTGACACTGAGATATTTAGGATAGAAACAGTGTTCAAGCTCTTGGCTTACTCAGGTGACTTTCAATTTCCTGTTGGCTTCACGGTTCCATAGGTAGAAAGCACATACTTATGTCTTGGCAAGGTTATGCTTCAGTTGGTTATCTTTGTAGTAGCTGGAGAGATCTTTCAAGGCATTAATTTATTAAATTAAGATAATAAATTAAGATGTCTTCCAAATATTGGCATAGTTTGGTCAAACAATTGGCCAGAACCTCAGGTTTGTTTTATTAGATGTTTAAGACAAGCAAGTGCTTTTTGTAAGTGATCAATGATGATACTGTCTGACAGTGGATAAATAGCAGGGGGTGGAATCATGCTGCCCTCCAAATGTTGTAAGATTACAATTCTGAGCAGCCCTTGCCAGCACATACATTGCTGAGGAATGTTGGTAGTTGCACAACATCTGGATGACCACAGGATCCCCACTGTGATATGCAGAGACCCACAAGTGATCAGCTGCCCAAAGTAATGAAGAAGATTTTACAAAGAGAGCTTGGCACATTATGAATATCAGCAGATATCCCTGCCTTACTTACTTCTATCAGCAGGAAGGTTGGCAACAGGTGCAGCATTGTGAGAGATGATTCTATACACACGATAATCAGGATCAATTGACTCTAGTTTTTCAAATTTCTTTGTGCTTGTCAAAGCACAACGGAAGTTGGTTTTCCATCTGCTTGGGTCTGGTAGATCTTCATTGTATTTTTTGCTGACTACAGCCCATTCCTTTCCAAAAACATAATATAAGAGATGGAAAAAATGTGAAAAGAACAATGCTTCAGAAATTTGACCTCTATGTTGTTTGAATCCCTGTCCCAAGCAGAATCCATATTATGTAAAGATAGCAGTAGAGTAGGGAAGGGAATGGGTGGACCTTCTGATATTGTTGCACTCCTATGATTCAAGACTGTTAGCTATGCAGACATCCCAAGGGTCCCCATTCCCTACTATAGCAAAGAGATAAAACCTCTAAACATAACATTCCAGATACAGATAGCACAGAGCTGAAGGCAAACAAAATTGGGATCACAGTATTTGGGAGTGCAGGCAGTTTTAACAGAGGAATCTCTGCCCCATAGAGCATGCTTTATGGGACTTTTTCTCCCAAAGAGAACAACAAATCGATGCGAGATGGAGCACTTCAAGTCAGGAAATGCACCTATGAAGATGGGCAGAAGATGAACTCTTCCATGTCAGAGTCCTGATCCAGCTTGTTTAAAAGAAAAATGTGTCATACAAAAACAAAGGACACAACAAGAACAGGATCTACTTTTTGAACACACAACTGTAAACCCATGACTAGTTTACAGTGGGAGAAAGAGGGCCTCCAAACAAAGCATGCTCCAAATCGAAAGGCATTGTGAAGCTATTTTATTTTTCATCATTCATAAGCAAAAAAACTTAGAGCAGTGGTAGAAAGCATTGGCAGTATACAAGCAAACGACAACATCTGTATTCCTAGTACAGGAATACAGAGCCACTGAACACCCAAACATTTTGGCATAAATCCAATTGTCAAACCCAATGAGGGTAGATCCAGTGAATGAGCCATTGAAAGATAAACCCACATTTATGTAAATCACATTGAATCTAGGCTTTGGATTTAGGCTGTTTCCCTGAAGCATTTGTAAATTTCAAGTAGACGTGCACAGGGTCATACAGTGGGCCTTCGGTTTTGCCTCAGGATCAATAGAAGTTGAAAACTACTTAAAGACAAACAACAATATGTACATACAAGAAGCTAGCCATGATTAAAGAGGACTATACCTTGAAAATCATGTAATCATCAGCTACAATATCCTTTCTTGAATGGTGTTTCCAGGGAATGCAAAAGGTTGTATGAGCCTCATCCACCCAATATAACCCTTCATATTTTCTGCTGCTGATCTCCTTGATCAGCCAATCAAAAAAGGAGATCTTTTGTGGATTCCTGAAAGGCAATGAATCATATTTAACTTGAGCAGAACAAATCTGTTCTGAACAGTTACTGTACTGTAGCATCATTGTTTTGCTTCTAACACAGTAGTGGCAATGCATTTTACTTTAAATGTTACATTGCTTTGGTTTGATGGAGGCCTCCTTACCATCTGAAAAACATAAAAGGGTAACTGGATAAACAGTAGAAACACGAATAACCTGAAGACACTATCCAAGTGGGGGAAAGGACCCCCTCTGTATTCAAAATAATAATAACAATTCTTTAATTACTTGCCTCTCCCCTTGGCTAGAGGCAGGGCACAAGACAGTCAAATACATCTATAAAATCACATATTAAAACATAGTTGAAATATGAGATGATAGAATCCTTTTGGTAATATATATAACTTACGCTTTTATTGATCTTGGAGAGAAGTTATCTACGTCCTTTTGCAAGGCATCTCCCTTGCCACTGATGGGCTGTAAGAGCTTGTTCTGCCTACTCTTTAGCAGCTGGGCTTGTTCTGAGGATAGAGACTGCTCCCTTTTCCCTACATGTTTCAAAATAGCCAGACAGATCGTGGCTGCATCTCTGTAGCCTAGCAGTTCTCAACCTGTGGGTCCCCAGATGTTTTGGCCTTCCACTCCCAGAAATCCTAACAACTGGTAAACTGGCTGGGATTTCTGGGAGTTGTAGGCCAAAACACCTGGGGACCTACAGGTTGAAAACCACTGCGTAGCCCATTGATGGCCAGGGAGATGGTATTCTTCCCAGTGGCCTTCCAGATGTTGCTGCATGTTGAAATGGTAGACAGGCAGAGTAGGTTGCCACCTCCACCATTTCCCATATGAACTTGTCACAGTACTAATGGAATTCCCCAGCCAGCAGAAAGGGAACTTCTGTCTTAATCTGCTCTTGAGAGCATACCAACCAACATTGCATGCACTGCCTTCTGACATTTATCTAATGGCCAGCACACAGCTCTTCAACTTTATCTTGTGTTACAGCCAGCCTGAGCTCAAAGATGGCTATTGGCAGACGATGGCTTATAAGTCTGCAGTCCTGGAGATGCTTATTAAAATACAAGCCCTGCTAAACAATGAAACTTCCTTCCAAAAACAGCGTAGGATTATGCTGCACAGGTTCTGGTTATTTCCCATGTTGCAATTTAAAAAATGCTATTCTTTAAGACAACTTAAATTCAGAACATGTTTTAATTCAACAAAAATATTTGTCAGCCTCTTGATCTCCAGATGTCTTATTGTCCCAGTCCACTTCGTACACATTTGGCTGCTGAAGGCATACACTCACCTTCTATTTGCTGCTCCAGCCATTATGATTATGAGTTTGTCAGTTGAAATAGGAAAGAATTGAAACTTCTGGGCTTGAGCTACTTGATGTCTTGTGGATTAATGGAAGAATCTGAATCACCAGAAATAAACCAAAAAGGAAAATCTCTGTGAGTAGAGATTTGATAGGTTTATTGACAGCATACAGGCAGTTAGTTAAAAGAATTAATACATCTAAATCAGGGGTGTCAAGCTCATTTTCATCAAGGGCCAAATCAGCCTTATGGTTGCCTTCAGTGGGCTGGTAAAACCATAGATGGAGAATCTGTGGATACAGAGTGTCAATTATAATTTGTTTACATACTTTATTTTCCATCTTCATTGCTATGATACTTCACCTTGTTGATGGGAAGCTTCCTACCGGAGTGGAAATCATCTGTCAGACAGATGGCAAGCTATTTAACCTCAGCAGACTGAAAGCCAAAACCAAGGTTACAACAACATCTATTATAGAACTTCAGTATGCTGATGGCAACGTCACTTGTGCGAATTCAGAAGACCTACAAGCCACTCTAAACACCTTCGCAGAAGTATACGAGAAGCTCGGCCTGTCATTGAACATCAAGAAAACCAAAGTGCTCTTTCAGAAGTTACCAGCCAATCCCTCTCCAATGCCAGAAATACAACTTAATGGTGTGACATCAGAAAATGTTGATCATTTCCGCTACCTTGGCAGCCACCTCTCCACAAAAGTCAACATTGACACTGAAATTTAATACCGCCTAAGCTCTGCGAGTGCAGCATTTTTCCAAATGAAGTAGAGAATGTTTGAGGACCGGGACATCTGTAGGGATACCAAGGTGCTTGCTTATAAAGCTATTGTCCTCCCAACCTTGCTATACGCCTGCGAGATGTGGACTGTCTACAGACATCACATGCAACTCCTGAAACGATTCCGTCAGTGCTGCCTCCAAAAAATCCTGCAAATCGTTTGGGAAGACAAGCAGACAAATGTCAGCATGCTGGAGGAAGCAAAGACCACCAGCATTGAAGTGATGGTCCTCCGCCATCAACTCCGCTGGACTGGCCATGTTGTCTGGATGCCCGACCACTGTTTCCCAAAGCAGTTGCTCTATTCTGAACTCAAGAATGGAAAACATAATGTTGGTGGACAGGAAAAGAGATTTAAAGATGGGCTCAAAACGAACCTTAAAAACTCTGGCATAGACACTGAGAACTGGGAAGCCCTGGCCCTTGAGCACTCCTGTTGGAGGTCAACTGTGACCAGCAGTGCTGTAGAATTTGAAGAGGCACGAATGGAGGGCGAAAGAGAGACTGGTGTTTCAGGGCTCGAGTGAAACATCAATGCATTCCCCTAATAATATTTCCCATTCACTGACTTGATAACGGTTCTTTCCTTCCATTACCTCTGATCCATCTATGGCATAGTGAGTGACTTTGGAAGCCTGGCACCAATGACTTACCCTCTCCAATTGTTTATTTCTATATTAAAAACAAAACAAGAAAAATATTTTTTTGTTCAAAACAAACAACAAAAAATAAAAGAACTCAACAGCCACATCCAGTTTTGTATGGAGGGCAATTCAGGGTTTAAGCTGCAAGAAAGGCTTATGTGGGTTGTTGTTGTTGTTCATTCGTTCAGTCGTCTCCGACTCTTCGTGACCTCATGGACCAGTCCACGCCAGAGCTCCCTGTCAGCTGTCACCACCCCCAGCTCCTTCAAGGTCAGTCCAGTCACTTCAAGGATGCCATCCATCCATCTTGCCCTTGGTCGGCCCCTCTTCCTTTTTCCTTCTACTTTCCCCAGCATAATTGTCTTCTTTAGGCTTTCCTGTCTCCTCATGATGTGGCCAAAGTACTTCAACTTTGTCTCTAGTATCCTTCCCTCCAGTGAGCAGTCGGGCTTTATTTCCTGGAGGATGGACTGATGTGGGAGGGCATGGTTTATGCATTGCCCATCCCTGATTAGGCAATTATTGTAGAAGGTTGCTGTGAGTTTTCCAGGCTGTATGGCCATGTTCCAGAAGCATTCCCTCCAGACATTTTGCCCACATCTATGGCAGGCATCCTCGGAGGTTGTGATGTCATATTCATAGCAACCCAGTGATTCTGGCCATGAAAGCTTTTGACAACACAATTACTGTACAGCTTTCCATCAAGTACAAGACACATTCATTATCCTACAACCAGGCATCAGATGAACTGTGAAGGAGCCCATGAATGTTTATCCCAAAGACAACTTGCTATTTTTTGAGGTGCCCCAAGAATCTCTGTTGCTTTTTCTTGAACAGGACTTGGTCCCTTTCTACACAGCTGTACAAAATCCAGATTATCTGCCTTGCCATTCTGGATTATATGGCAGTGCACACAGGCACTTGATGACACACAACTGCAACCACAACACAAGAAGTCTGCAAAACAAGTCTACTTTACCTCGCGTTAACAAGTGCTCCAGTAAAACGAAGTGGAAAGTGGAAAAATCAAGAAGCTAAAGGACGATTGTCTGCTTTCCCTACAAAGCAGATTTGGGGGGGGGGGGGGTTCCTGCCTTGATATTCTGGGACATAGGGCTGTGTGGAAGGGCCCTGGGTGGTTTAACGGCAAACTTCGTCCCGCAATTCTTCTCCTGTTATGATTTCTCCCGTGGAAACCGTAAACTTGTTGCAAGTGCAGTAGCTCGCCAGGAAAGGAGGCGGGACCCTGCGCTGCCAGTCAAGCAAAGGGAGAGCGAGCGAGAGAGCGAGCGAGAGACGGAGGGCCGCTCTACGTACACTGCGCATGCGTACGCTCCCACTTTTCCTCGAGACCATCCACCACCACCACTGTTAACTGCTCTGGTTCTATGCTACACTACAAAACTCACGGTTCCATAGCACTGAGCCAACATATTTGAAGCGGCGTCAAACTCCATTCATTCTACAGTATAGATCAGGCATGGGCAAACTTGGGCCTTCTCTCCAGGTGTTTTGGACTTCAACTCTCACCATTCCTAACAGGCTCAGCCCTTTCCTTTCCCCCCTCAGCCGCTTAAGAGAAAAAGGAATGGGCCCGAGGCTGTCAGGAATGGTGGGAGTTGAAGTCCAAAACACCTGGAGAGAAGGCCCAAGTTTGCCCATGCCTGATCTGCACAGAATTAATGCAGTTTGGCACCACTTTTACTGCCATGGGTCAATGTTATATAGTTCGGCGAGACATCAACACTCTTGGGCAGAAAAGACCTTGTAGAACCACAACTCCTATGACTCCATAGCACTGGTCATGGAAGTTAAAGTGGTACCAAACTGCATTAATTCTCCAGTGTAGATCCACCCCAAACCGAGCAGAAAAAAGACTGACAATAAGATTATTTGAAAAGTGCAGAGAGAGACAGCAACTTTCCCTCCCCTCCCCACCGGCATCCCTCTGGATCTGCAGCTTCCCCAGGCCCCTGCCACACAGCGAAATCACATTGTCTGCTTTGAACTGGTTTATATGGCAGTGTGGACTCAGCCAACCCAGTTCAAGGCAGATATTGTGGGTTATTCTGCCTTGATATTCTGGGGGTCCTTCCACACAGCCCTATATCCCAGAATATCAAGGCAGAACGTCCCACATTATCTGAGTGTGGGCACAGATAACCCAGAAAGTTCAGAGCAGATATTGGGGGACTTTCTGCCTTGATAGTCTTTGATATAGGGCTGTGTGGAAGGGGCCCCAACCTTCGCATTTAAAACTTACGCTAAAGAGCAAAGCAAAACTAAAACAAAACCCCAAAAACAATACCTTTCTCTTTGCCGGGTGCTTGCTTATTGCAGGAGAGGTGTAGAATGGTAGGAAACATATAAACATATTGGCACGGCTCCGCGCGCTGCTTTATATTGGAAAGCCCGGAGCCCCCTGATTGGTCACGGTCATCACCGCCCGCCAATCAGAGACGAAGCCGATTGCAAAGCAGCGCGCGCCCATCTTTTTTTCCTCGAGCGTGTGTGCGCGCGCGCGCTCTCTCCCGGTGATGCAAGCGGTCTCTCCCTCCCGCGCCTGGTGATGCCATTCCCGTAAAGCACGTGCCCTGCCCCAAACACTGTTAAGTTTCATTTCTGGAGCTGTCCCTCTCCTCGACGCGGCCTTTCTGCAAGGCGAGCTGGGAGCGGCACCCGGCTCTTGAAGGAGGCGCGTGAAGCAGCTGGCTCCCCTTCCCTGGGAAAGCGGCCAGATCCTTGCAGGAAGTGAGAGCGAAACTGGTGGCCATCAAAAAAAAAAAAAAACTAAGAAGAAAGTCCAAGTTCAAGCACGCAGCACACCCAAAGGGCTCACCCCCCTCCCCTATTTACATTTATTTTTAAATATAATTTTATGGAGCTAGGGGTACCTCCACTGTAGAATGAATGCAGTTTAACACCACTTTATCAGCCATGGCTTAATGCTATGGAGTCCTGGGAGCTGTAGTTTGGGGAGGCACCAGCATACTGGCTTACTTGCTTACTTAAGCCAGGGGCCCTCAAACGTTTTAAACAGAGGGCCAGGTCACAGTCCCTCAAACTGTTGGAGGGCTGGATTATAATTTGAAAAAAGCATAATTTGAATTCCTAGGCACACTGCACATAGCTTATTTGTAGTGCAAAAAACACTTAAAAACAATACAACAATTAAAATGATGAACAATTTTAACAAATATAAACTTATAAGTATTTCAATGGGAAGTGTGGCCCTGCTTTTGGCTGATGAGAAAGGATTGTTGTGTGCTTTCAAGTAGTTTCAGACTTGGTTGACCCTGAGTGAGGGCCGGGTAAATGACCTTGGAGGGCCTTATCTGGCCCTCAGGCCTTAGTTTGAGGGCCTCTGACTTAAGCGATCCCTTGTTGTCTGAGTATGATGGCCCTCCAAGAGCAGTGTCTTGGCAGATAACGTAGGGCTGTGGAGCCCTGTTCTTGACCTACATGTTCTTCCACAGTGAAGACATTGGTTTCTTGGTGGAAGGCAGTCCCGGTCAGAGTTGGCTTGATGCACCTTACTCTTGGCACTTTTCTCCCTTTCTCCCTCCATTTGTGCCTCTTCAAATTCCACAGCACTGCTGGTCACAGCTGATCTCCAATTAGAGCGCTTCCCGGTGTCTCGGTGTCTATGCCATAGTTTTTAAGGTTGGCTTTAAGCCCATCTTTAAATCTCTTTTCCTGTCCACCCTCAAACCATTTTCTATTCTTGAGTTGCGAGTAGAGCAACTGCTTTGGGAGATGGTGATTGGGCATTTGGACAAATGTGGCCAGTCCAGCAGAGCTGATGGTGTAGGAGCATTGCTTCAGTGCTGGTGGTCTTTGCTGACATTTGTCCACCTGTCTTCCCAAGAGATTTGCAGGATTTTTTGGAGGCAATGCTGATGGAATCAGTCCAGGAGTTGAGTGTGACTGTCTGATAGCAGAGCCAACTCCATGTATTCTTCGTTCATCTTCAAGCAGTCCCTTCCAGATGAATGTGTAGCCTCCTTTTTCCCCCTTCAGTTGTCCCTCTCCTGCTCTCTGGGTCTCCTGAAGTGCTGCTATGTTGATGTTAAAGCATCCTAGCTCCCTTGCAATAATAGCAGTCCTGTGACGGCGCGTGTAGCGCCTCATATATTTAGAACTGTTAGTTGCAGGATTTTAAACTGCCATTTTATTTCTGTCTACCTTGTACATGTATAGTTAAATTTCATTGGTTACTATAGCTGTCAATTTATTGTTGTTGTGCACCAATTGGTTTGTTTCCCCAGTTCAGTTGTTTAGGCTCCGCCCCTTCCAAGGGAGAAAGGGAAGGTTTCTCCCTCACCTTTTTTACCTCAGTAAAAGACTCATTGGATGGACGTGTCCAAAAGCTTGGCCCAAAAGCCCCTGGTCAAGGCATTTTTTACTACCAGTTCTTAAGTTTTACCCCTGAGTCTTATTCTTTATGTTCAAACCCCCTGAACGAACATGTGAAGACTTCAGGCGCCCTCACACCAGTTCTTTGGCACCATAGGAAGGTCTTGTCCTTCAATTTAGGCCACTGAACTGGGGTTGTGGTTTGCTCCGGCATCCATAGCCATTGAGAGAGAGGGAACCGGAAAAGCTTCTCAGCTTATTACTCCTGGGACCCTGGACTTAGAGTTTTTAAAGTATCTTTTCCCAGTTGAAACATAAAGTTTGTGTCAAAGAAAGAGAACTGTTAACAATAAACATCATTTCGAGTTAACTGTTGTGTTCTGGTCCTTGGGAGTTCCAGTTTCCCTAAAGGAGGGCAAGAAAGCAATCCCCTGGGGAAAGCAGTCACGTCCATGCCTCTTTCTCTATAGCCCCAGGCGCGACGGCACAGTAGTAAAAATATGACTTCCCTTGATCAGTAGTAAAAAAGCCTACTTAAAGAAGTAGTAAAAGAAAAAATAAAGCCAAAGAGAAGGGCCTCCAGGCCTCAAATCAAGCCGGGGACTCAAGCAAGCCATAAGCCTGTCTTCTCCTCAGCAGCACCCAGGCCCTAGAAGCAAGTTAGGCCCTGTGGCCAAGAAACCAAGTAAAGCCTATCTTCCCCTCACAAGCAAGTCAGGCCCTGCGGCCTAAAAGTGAGCCAAGGCCTCAAGTCAAGCCGGGGACTCGAGTAAAGCCTGTCTTCCCCTCACAAGCAAGTCAGGCCCTGCGGCCTAAAAGTGAGCCAAGGCCTCAGATCAAGCCGGGGACTCAAGTGAAGCCTGTTTTTCCCTCACAAGCAGGCTAGTCCCGTCTTTCCCTCAGTAGCAGTCAGGCTCAAAATCTGCCTAGCAACTGTTGCTAAGTGGCTTCAACTGGCAAAACAAAGAAAGTTTTACCTTTTAAAAGAGGAGGCAGCTGTTTGTAATTGTTCTTTTCAAAGGATTGCATTGCATTTTTGTGTGCTTTGCAATTGTATGCTTAAATTGCATTGCACTTATACTGTTTAAAGTGTGGGATAAGTTTCTTTTGTATTTGGCATTATGGCAAGCCATAACTTGGAGGTCCCACTAGTGAGGGCAAAATCCCCCCACCCTGTCAGAGAAAGGCATCCCACACAGAAGGCGATGTCCTGTCTTGTGCGTCAGGAAAACCAACTTTCACAGAAATTCAAGAAAATTTGTCAGAGCCTACCTATTTTAGCAAATTCAATGAAGTCATCCACTTGCCCAAAAGAAAGGGAGGTTCTTAGACAAGAATTTCTAAAAGCCTTCAATGATGGTGGTGTTATTACAGAACAAATAATTGATGTTCTGAACAAGATGAATACCCCAGAGGCTTTAGAGAGGGCTAAAGAAATTTCTTTTAGTATGCAAGAAGAGAGGAGGCACTACAGAGCGGTTTTATTTGAACTAGAGCCTAGTTCCTCCTTCAAAGGTGCAGAGGAAAAGGTTCAAGGCTCCCCATGTGTAAGCCTTAGTTCCAGTCTGCTCAAGCTTCTACCTAGGGCCGCTAGCCTTAGATCCAAACATTCATCTAGGCATAGCAGTGCCTCCCAATCTGCACATTCATTTCTCAGTACATCTTCCAAAGCAGCCTATTATAGCAGAGAGGCTATTTGTTTAGAAATCAGGAAGGAGGTTTTAGAAGCAGAGGCGTCTGCGGAGATGGCTAAGCAAGGCCTCGCCTTCGAAGAGGAGGAGCTCCTCCTTCAACAGGCTAAGGCCCAGCAGGAACTGCTTTTGGCACAGACGAGAGCCCAACAGGAAGCTGAGTTAGCACAGGCTAAAGCCCAAAAGGAAGCTGACTTAGCACAGGCTAAGGCCCAGAGAGAAATAGAGTTTGCAGTGGCAAAGGCCAAGCAGGATACGCTACAACGGGACCTAGGTCTGCTCCAAGCAAAAAGAGACACAGCACAAAAGATAGCCAGGGCCAACGTTTTAGCCAAAGCTCTATCACAGGAGCTAACTCAAGAAAACCTTAGCCTTCTGCCAATACAAGAGTCTATTGCAAAGGTTTCAGCACACCTGCAACTGGAACCACCTGTAGTGCAGAGCCATGTCTCCTTTGACCATCCTGAAGATCGCTCACCTGTCCCAGTGTTCACTACTTCAAAGCCAGCCAATTCCCCTAAAGTTCAACAAAGCACGGCCGGGAGGGTGCCATCGTCTCTGTCAGAGTCCATCCCTGTAATTAAGCCTCAGAGATACCACCTGTCTATGTGGGAACCAAAGGATGACGTCTTTCAGCAGGATCCAGATGTTCTCTCAGATTGGCAAGGCATGGCCGGGAGTGGTCCACCACATCCATCCCTGCATACCAAGCCAATTGTTTCATCACTGAAGATTAAAGCTTCAGAGGCGCTGCCTGCCAGCAATCTGCTGAACTCAACATCTCCTACCATCATAATGAGACGTGTTCAACCGAAGAATATTGACTTTGTCACACCACAGCAGACTCCTCAGATGTATCCCTACACACCGGATTCACAATTGGGCTTCCTCCTGCGTAATCCCAGAAGAGATATCAGAGACAAAGGCGTCCAGAAATTCACCGACCGGCCAGACGACTACCTCCTGTGGAAAATTACCTTCAAGAGGGCCATCCGAGATTTCAAATTAGAAGCAGATGAAGAATTGTCTCTTCTTATGGCGTGGCTTGGATCCAGCTCAGCTGAGCAAGTAAAGAGGCTCTATGCTGCTCACGTGTCAGACCCTCAAAAAGCATTGTCCACAGCGTGGTCTCGCTTGGACCAGCGCTACGGTTCGAGCACTGAGATAGAAGCATCCCTCATGGATCGACTCAACAGGTTCCCATCATTGAAGATGAAAGATTACAAACAGCTTTGGGACTTCAGTGATCTTTTGTTAGAGCTAGCTTCAGCCAAAGAAAATCCAGAGCTGCCAGGATTGGCATGTCTGGACCAGCACACATCGCAGAGTGCCATTCTCTGCAAACTTCCTTTTCCCCTTCGAGAAGCTTGGGGAAAAGAGGTGTTCAAGTACAAGGAGGCAAATGCAAATGTATATCCGCCCTTCAACTTTTTGGTGGATTTTGTCACCAGAGCAGCCCGTGAGAGGAATGACCCTCAAACAGGTCTTCCCGCTTTGTACCAAGGCCTAAAGCCTGAAAAGACCTCCAAAGAAGACAAAGTGCAGGGCAAAGAACTTAAAAGGAACTTGAGTGTCAAGATGACAGACACTACTCCTCCACCTTCAGTTCAATCAGTTGGCAACAGCAGCATCACCTGTCCCATTCATCAGAGGCCACACAGCCTAGCTGAATGCAGAGAGTTCACGAAGAAGCCCTATAAAGAGCGGCTTCAAGTAGTTCAAAAGGCCAAGGTGTGCTTCAGATGTTGCGGCTCCACTATTCACTTCTCCAAAGACTGTAAAGAAAAGGTGAAATGTCAACATTGCAACAGCCTCAAGCATTGCTCTGCAATGCATAATTTTGATTCCCCTCAACTCAAAGCAAATACAAAGTCCCCTGTCAAAGAAGAGACCAAAGAAGTGAAGGACCAAAATTCTACAGAACCTCAGGTAGCCCTCAAAGCTCCTGCCGTTGCCTGCACCAAGCTTTGTCAAAATAACATCAAGCCCAGGATTTGTCATCCTATCTGCCTGGCAGAAGTGTATCCAGACAAGCAGCCGTGGAATAGGAAAAAGGTCTACGTCGCCCTGGATGCCCAAAGTGATGCATCGCTTGCAACCCCAGAGTTCTTCGACATGTTCGACCTTCACACCAAGACAGTGGAATACACCATATCCACTTGCTCTGGAAGGAACAAGATGTGTGGCAGAGTTGCAACTAGGTTCAAAATTTCACCCTTTGGACAAAAGGCCAGTTACGAACTTCCTGACCTTATAGAATGCAGCCTGATCCCCAGGAACAAAGAACAAATAGCCACAAAGGAGGTGGTTCAAGCCCATCCTCATCTCAAAGGCATCCAAGATCTAATTCCAGCTCTAGACTTGGAAACAGACATTGTCATGCTTATCGGCGCAGATTGCCCCATACTGTTCCGTATTAGCAACCAGATTGAAGGTCCTAAGGGATCACCCATTGCCCAGAAGTTGCCTTTAGGATGGACTGTGTTAGGCCCAGTCTGCCTGAACAAGATGTTCCAGCCTGTCACTAAAAGACCTCCACTAATGCAAGGATGTGCCAGCCACATCTCAGTTTGTTGCCAGGGAGTAATACCTGATTACTCTTCCATCTTCGAAGTCACAGAGAGAGATGAGCAAACAGCCTTCTCTAAAGACGAACAAAGGTTCCTTGAGATGATGAACAACCAAATCACTCAAGACCCCCAAGGTAATTGGATAGCACCTTTACCTTTCAAGCCGGAAAGACCATCTCTACCCAACAACAGAGATGTTGCCCTTCATCATCTCCTGTCCTTAAGAAGAAGGATGCTGAAAGATCCAAAGGTGAGGACCCAGATCACCCAGTTTGTAGAAGACCTCTTCAGCAGCAACTACACCGAACCAGCCACTGCATGTGCGGAGGAGGAGGAAGAGGCTGATGGTGGACCTTTCTCGCCACAGCCGTCGACGGTGATGACGGCCGTTCTGTCCCCACGGGCGTGTGACAGCGACCCGACCACGCCTAAAGCCCAGTCCTTCAAGGATGATACTGAAGAAAATTCAAACGATGGCAGCCAACCATCTAAAAGACGTCGAATGGGCTCAGGGGACAGTTCACAAAGTTATGAAGCTTCAAGCCAAGACCTTAGCTTTAGTTACTTTCCAGCAGAAAACCTGATAGAGTACAAATGGCCCCCTGATGAAACAGGAGAATACTACATGCTTCAAGAGCAAGTCAGTGAATACTTGGGTGCGACCTCCTTTAAGCGAAAGCATCCAGATTTAGAAAGAAGAGATCTACCTCACAAAGAGAAACTCTGCCTCAGAGAACTAAATGTCTCTGAAGGCGAATGTGCTCCTGAAAACCAGGAGGAACCTCTGCTGGCAAGACCGAAAGTAAGAGAGAGAGATTCCACTCCAAGAAAAGAGGGTTCCAAACGATCTGTATCCAAATTGGTTCCTGGGTACAAGCCAAAGGACTTTCCAAATACTATATGTGGGATTTGTCTGAAGGGTAAAGAGTCCAACAAGAAAGGGAAGGCGGAAGCCCTTATACACTGCTCCCAGTGTGAAAACAGTGGCCACCATTCCTGTCTGGACATGTCTGCGGAGCTTGTGGCAATCATTAAGACCTATCCCTGGCAATGCATGGAGTGCAAGACATGCATCATATGCGTCCAGCCTCACCACGAGGAAGAGATGATAGTCTGCGACACATCCACCAAGGCTATCGCTGCAGTTGCATACGCCAGACAGAGAGGCATCAGTACCTGCTCTTCAGGATTTGTGATGTCAAAGACTAAAGTAGCACCCATGGACGTTTCAGTGCCCAGAAGAGAACTCTGTGCCGCTGTCTTAGCTACTCAGTTAAGGCAAACTGTCAGAGAAGAAATAACTTAAAAGAAAAGGACAATCCCAGACACCAATGGACTAAGGGTTTTGTTTTCTAAGTTATATTCTAGCCCGGACAATAGAGTGTGCAAGGCCCAAGTTAAGGTTGTTTCCAACAAAAGGTTGCCTTGCCCAAAAATACTTGTTTAAAGAACTTGTACCCCTTCCTAGACTATGAGGGTCTCCTTAGGGTTGGAGGTAGACTAAAGAGAGCAAAGATTAGCTCCTGTGTTAAAAAAACTGTGTTATTTTTGCAAGACACACAGTCTTAAAGTTATAATAGTTAAAGGTGTTTAACTTTATTTGGTTTAGATTTCCGAAAGTCCGGAAATCTAGGCGGGAGTGTGACGGCGCGTGTGGCGCCTCATATATTTAGAACTGTTAGTTGCAGGATTTTAAACTGCCATTTTATTTCTGTCTACCTTGTACATGTATAGTTAAATTTCATTGGTTACTATAGCTGTCAATTTATTGTTGTTGTTCACCAATTGGTTTGTTTCCCCAGTTCAGTTGTTTAGGCTCTGCCCCTTCCACGGGAGAAAGGGAAGGTTTCTCCCTCACCCTTTTTACCTCAGTAAAAGACTCATTGGATGGACGTGTCCAAAAGCTTGGCCCAAAAGCCCCTGGTCAAGGCATTTTTTACTACCAGTTCTTAAGTTTTACCCCTGAGTCTTATTCTTTATGTTCAAACCCCCTGAACGAACATGTGAAGACTTCAGGCGCCCTCACACCAGTTCTTTGGCACCATAGGAAGGTCTTGTCCTTCAATTTAGGCCACTGAACTGGGGTTGTGGTTTGCTCCGGCATCCATAGCCATTGAGAGAGAGGGAACCAGAAAAGCTTCTCAGCTTATTACTCCTGGGACCCTGGACTTAGAGTTTTTAAAGTATCTTTTCCCAGTTGAAACATAAAGTTTGTATCAAAGAAAGAGAACTGTTAACAATAAACATCATTTCGAGTTAACTGTTGTGTTCTGGTCCTTGGGAGTTCCAGTTTCCCTAAAGGAGGGCAAGAAAGCAATCCCCTGGGGCGTACACTGTCTATGTTGTCCAATAGTGTCCATATGTTCCAAAGTTCATATTTTGGACCGCAGGGTGGTGACCCCTCTGGATGCAGCAGTCCAGTCAGGGATAAGAGTTAGACCTTAAACTAAGGTCTCAAACTAAGGCCCAAGCGCCGGATACGGCCCTCCAAGGTCATTTGCCTGGCCCTCACTCAGGGTCAACCTAAGTCTGAAACAACTTGAAAGCACACAACAACAACAATCCTATCTCATCAGCCAAAAGCAGGCCCACACTCCCCATTGAAATACTAAAAAGTTTATATTTGTTAAAACTGTTCTTCATTTTAATTACTACATTGTTTTTATGTGTTTTTTGCACTACAAATAAGATATGTGCAGTGTGCATAGAAATTCTCATGCTTTTTTCAAATTATAATCTGGCCCTCGAACAGTTTGAGGAACTGTGACCTGGCCCTCTGTTTAAAAAGTTTGAGGACCCCGAGTTAGACTATGTTTAGGACACCTTTTCTAGTCCCTTCTTTGTGTAGGATGAGCAGAATGGAACCGAAAAGGACTGCTCAGTTATGGATACATCTGCTGAACTACTCAACTGCCTCAGACCTTGAAGTAGAACAACTGAATCCATATCCACCGTCTAAATGCAAGTCTGTGATTGGGGGCTTCCAGATTTCACAGTCTTGCTCCCATCACCACTCGCTGACTGCCATGAGACTTTTGTTGGTTTGGTTTTTTTTTCTTGCAAGACACCTGTGCATAAGTTTTTTAATGTGTGGAGGTCAGTGCACAAACAACACACAGTCTTCACAATGAGAGTCCCAACCAGTGGCATGGTTAACACAACAACGGTGGCTTCTCAGTCTGTTGCAGCCTTTCCCACTTTCACAACTGTTGTAACATGTACCATGTTGTCTTCCACCTGATCTGCCATTGAGCTCTTCAGATCTTCATATTGTGATCAGTCTGGAACCTCCCCTCCAGCCCCTCCTGCAAGTACATGGCTCCGACAGTTACGCCTGCAAGTTTGTTGGGACACACAAGCCCTCTCACTGCAAAAAGGTGACAATCCATCAAGGAGGCACTTGAGGCTGAATAGTACCTTGTAAAACTGCAACTCCCAGGATTCCATAGCATTGAATCAAGCCAGTTAGCACATAAGTAGAAGTATGAGTTGCAGCAGAAGTGCTGCCAAGTGATCCCACAAGATAATAACATTATGTAACATGATTTTTGTTCCTAGGTTATAAATATCATTTCTAATTGGTTCTATCACAAAACATGGAAAAGGCTTATTATTAAAGCCTTAAAAGGCTTATAACTGCAAAAATTTGGTTTTTGTGGGACATCCTGCAGCACATTTTTCTATAGTTTCTCAGTGAATTCAAACAATTAAACATAGTTTGTGGCAGTGACAAAAATGAAATTTCTAGAGTATAACAACTACTTTTGAAGTAAGTACCATACAATTAAACAGGAAATAATACTTTCAATCCAGGAACAGATTTTCCCCCCAAATATTGTTACATATTGTTACATAATATTGTTACATAGTGTAATACGTAAATCTAAACAAATATCTTGAGAATTTTGTGGCTGGAAAGCTGTTTTTCTACTAGAACTCTGTTTGCTTCCGCTGACAGGAGATACAAACAATGACCTTGGGGTGGCTGGACTTTATGGCTTTGCCATAACTAGTATTGACTGCAGTGGACAAGGTGGCCAAAAGTTTTCCTTCCCACTCTTCTATATTACATGCAAGAAATCCTTTGGAGTTTGGATTTATTTGCTACTCAGCTCTGTGCCTTTCTTGGGAAAAGTGATTACCTTACGTCAAAACCGGATGCTTTGTTTTATTTAAATGGTTGGGCCATACTCTTTTACTTGGCCACTCATACTTTAGTGTGTGCATGATGAGAATAGCTAGAACAGCTTGTGGTTTCAACGGTAAAACCCTTCTACGACATGGAGAAGATGATCTGCTAACATCCATGGACCAAGATACTTTTAAAAATATGAGTTACAGCAGGTACAGTACTTTAAAGTTCATAATTCAATTGTCAACGTGACTTTCCTTAGAGTATGCATGGCAGGTATAAGATGCTTTGCAAATTCCTGGGTAGCAATCATTCTCAGCTGACATTGAGTAGTGGCACAGTTGAGAAAGACTTCCCTTCCTCTTGCTAATGTATTCAGTTGTCTTGGCTAATTAAAACTCTTTTTTCCAGCCACATTTTCCTTTCTATTTCATATTGCAACTGCTGCTGTCTGCTGGACTTCCCCGCCTTGAGTGCTCCCTCTGCCACAAAACTATTTTGTGAGTGGTTACTTGGAACAGAAAATTAGAATTCCCCTGCTTGTGGTTGGCAAGTTTGCCAGTCTTGGCCTCACAGAGGAGTGTGGCTTCCCAAATCACTTCATTCATGCTATGTCTGCACTGTTGGGCACATTACATTTGATAGCAAATCCATTTATTTTGTAATGTGCACCTTCAAAATTGAGGTGCACATTATATTTGATGGCTTGAGTAAATACGATATTCCTTCTGCAGAAGTGGAACCCACAGATATGGAAAGCCAGCTATCCTATCTGATTTTCCATATCCATGGGCTGATAGCTATCTATCTGTCTGTCTGTCTGTCTGTCTGTCTATCTATCTATCTATCTATCTATGTCTAGAGAGGGAGGGAGGGAGAGGGAGGGAGAGGGAGGGAGAAAGGGAAGGAGAGTTGGCTTTTCATATCCATACCATGGGTTTTATATCATCAACAGATTCAACCAACCACTCAATTTTTTTCATAAAGAAGCTCAAGATGTCTCATTTTCCCCCAGCCCTGCCTGCTCTATGGTGCAAAAGCATTCTGATGGAAGTTGTTCTGCGATGCTCCTCTGCTGAGAATTAAGAAACTGCTAAAGTGGGATGGGGGACAGGTTGAGAGGAAGTGAAGGAAGGAAGGAAGGAAGGAAGGAAGGAAGGAAGGAAGGAGAGAGGGGGCTACTTGGAGTGCAAACCCAGTGGACTTATGATAAACTGAAATTTGGCACAGACTGGGGAGCTACCTTGGAGTCTTTTTCCATGGGAGGTGACACACATGCAGGGGCAGCTCAAGCATTACGCAAAGTAAGCATTTGCAGTATAGTTGATTTTGCCCAGGGGCGCTCTTGAGGCTCTCTTGGGGGAAAATAGACATATACGAGTTGTAGTTACTGGGATGTATAGTTCACCTACAATCAAAGAGCATTCTGAACTCCACCAATGGTGGAATTGAACCAAATATGGCACACAGAACTCCCACAACAAACAGAAAATATAGATCAGTGATTGGTTGGGGGGGGGGCGCCAAAATACTGTTTGCTTACCATTGAAAATTACCTAGGGCCGCCTCTGCACACATGACAGGCAAATATCCCCTTTGCCACTGGTTGTCAGGGTGGAGGCTTGAACATCCATGGATTTGAGTTTTTGTACAGGGTTCTGGAATCAATCCCCATAAGATACAAAGGGCCAACTGAAGATATAACTGAAGATTTCAGGGCAGCCTACTATAAGACACAAGCAAATGGTACTATGATTTCAGAAGGCTAAACACATTATCTAACAATACAAGTTAAAAGGGAGATTATAAATGACACTGGAATGACAGCAATTTAGGTGCCATTTGCACCTTTATGGGAAGGCCATTCCATAACTGGAATGCCACAGCAGAGAAGGCCCTCTCTCATAAAGTGGTGAATAAGGAGTGGAGTAAAGACCAAACATTTACATTGAAGTATTGTCGAAGGCTTTCATGGCCGGAATCACTGGGTTGTTGTAGGTGTTTTCGGGCTATATGGCCATGGTCTAGAGGCATTCTCTCCTGACATTTCGCCTGCATCTATGGCAAGCATCCTCAGAGGTAGTGAGGTGTGTTGGAACTAGGAAAAATGTAAGAATGGGAAACATGTGCTCCTTTAGATGATGATGAACTGCAGCTCTCACCAACTAAAGCAAACATAGCCAGCAGTGAAGAATAGGTAAAGGTAAAGGTAGTCCCCTGACATT